CGCATACATCAGCATGAATTGACGTTTGCACCCATGTATATTTATACCAACGAGACAATTGAACCCAGGCATGTTTTTGAGACACCCCAGTTTCTGTAGTGATTTATTACTAATATAATCAAAATAAATTTAATAATTTAAATGAATACACGTAGGTTACTTATGAACATTGTACTTATGTTGGGCAGTTTTGGGGTCTAATGCAAGACGATTTTACAGCTAAACTGACGCCTGATTATTAAGGATAATACAAATAGAACCAAGCATTAAACAATATCGTTTAATGATAAATTGGCTGTTTTTGACTCAGGCATTGTGGAACTATTTGACATCGAGAAGAAAGTTCGGCGCTCTTGAAGTGTGTGTACCAACATGGAGGTAAATATTTTTGTTCAGCTACTTTACATCAATTCGTGTAAAGGGATTGAAACCTATGGGCAGGGGGTATATTCAATTAGCTAAAACAGACATTCCCAAAACTCGTGATAAAACTAAAATAAGGAAAACCGGAATAAAATTATGGCCTAACCCTAACCTGGTACACACACTACGGGAGTCCAAAAAGCTCAATCTGGACGATTCCAACTTCGAGAAAGTAGAATCGCATTATAAAAATCGCAAAAAAAATTGTGAATAGTATCGAGAAAATACGTCAGAAAAATTTGACATGTGGAAATAATTCTGCAATTTTTTGTTGATGTGAGCGGTTTGCACTTTTTTTACTCTCTTTTGCAGTTAGATGAGTTAAAACTTTTGTTTCAGACAATACACACGTCGTTGATAAGTATACGGGTCAGGAGTCGCTTCCAGAAAGTAATGTACCGAACGATTATTTTAAACCAGGCGTCGGCAATCAGTGGGCCAGTTTGAATCTAAATTTATTTACGCACCGCTCTTCAAAAACACTGCTTTTACTTAAATTGAATTTCCAACTCAACTGTATAACGCAAGCGAATTCTACAGTTCGATATTGATTAACGATAATTTTTGTCTGTTGACTATTATTTAGCGTAAACTTATATCATTTCATCATACCCTGTTCAAATTTAAGATAAGCAAATATCATGGTCATATTGCCTCTAACGGTTTGATATTGCAATGCTTCCCGATGGCTGCCGACCACTCTTTCAAACTACGTATAACGCTTGAATTATATTTTAACTAGATTTTTATATTATTTTTATATTATTTTTTGATCTTGAAAGATTATAAAATTGGAATTTGATGAATTATGCCAGTGTGCCTAAATATCGATATCCTCCGACTGAGACAATAGTAGACTATTATTGAAAATGTTTGATCTGGAAAATTCTCTCATTCGCTGAATATTTTGTCCACCTGAATCCCGTTTATCGTACATTTCATTCACCAGATATTTTGTCTATATATATTTCGTTTTCCTCATAAAACAGGCGCCGGGATTATTCGCTCTTTATAAAAACGACTTTTTCAGTGAGACTCTTCTGTGGCGTATAATATTCAATCCATGGTAATGAACTTAATTGTGTCTAACGTAACTCGCGGTGGCGACTTTAAATACATTACTACTAAAGAAAAAAAGATGTAATATGCGGACATAAACACATGAGATAAACTGTCTAGTTATATTTAGTTTTGATAGGTATGTTTGCAATCTTGCTAATTCGTTGTCGCCGTTAGGAATCCGTATTTTTGCCATTTTGCAAAATAGAGAAATCTGTACTTGTAACACAGATCCGCTCAATCGCAATGCTGACACTCAGATTATTTTTAAGATAATACCGTTATAATCTCACGACGTAAAATCTAATTAGTACAATGAAACTCGATTGGATTAATTAATTTACCATCACAATCCGTTAAGTGTGACATGTGGGAAACGTGGGACAAGAGGTACAAGTGGGACAAATGGCACAAGTGGTACAAGAAGTACACGTGGTGCAAGTGGTACACGTTGGGCAAGTGGGACACGTGGTACAAGTGGGACACGTGGTGCAAGTGGGACACATGTTACAAGTTGTACACGCGAGACAAGTGGTACACGTGGGGCAAGTGATACACGTGGTGCAAGTGGCACACCTGGGGCAAGTGGTACACGTGGGGCAAGTGGTACACGTGGGGCAAGTGGGACACGTGGTGCAAGTGCGACATGTGGTACAAGTGGGACATGTGGTGCAAGTGGGACATGTTGTACAAGTGGGACAAGTGGTACACCTGGGGCAAGTGGAACGCGACATTTTTGAGACACCGCTTTAATTAAACCCGTCCGTTATACGAACGACTGCGGCAAGCCGGTTGTTCAGTTGTGAACTGTACAGCAGTGATTTTCAACCGGTGTTTCGCGAGAGACCTCCAGGTCTTTCGCGAAAAATTGTTTTTTCGAAGTATTATGACGTCATTCGAATAATATAAATAGAGTCGATTTGAAAACGGCGAGTCAGAATTTTGGAAAGTCGGTATAAAAAAACTTGTAACCAGATAAGAAATGACAGGCCATATTCCCTTTAAATAGACTTTATCTCGGCGTGTATTTCTAGTGATCCATTCCATTCTTGACCAAATAAAGTATCACAAATGTGAACATTATACTCGACCATGAATGGAGTCATCATCGAAGTTGATTACATTTGTTGCATTTTGAAGCTTTTCTTGAAGTAATAATTAGGGCGTGGCATCATCAAAATCGTCAAGTGAAGTGTTGAATTTGCAAATTCCGTAAATAAAATTGTGAATTTGTAGGTAACGATTTTAGCTATGATAATGGTCGCGGTATTGTTTTGTTGAAAAAGAAAACGTTAAAACTCGAGGTGATTAATTCTAATCAGCGTCTAATAGCACAAAAGAAATTGGGCATAAAATTGTTCACAATTTTTTTGGCATCAGGTCGCGCATGTAAGATATCGTTAAAGAAGTGCTCTTCATCGTCATCTCGCCTAATGACCACGTAGAAATGCCATTATTTCAGCTTTTAAATCAACATTCAGGATTCACGCAATCACAGATTTATCTAATCACAGTATCTAATTGATTTATTCCGGAAATAACACTGACACCAGTGTGGTGCATAGGAAACTCAATTATCGTCTTAATAAATGTGTGCATCCCGTTGTCGATAATGATAATATTATTCGCTAAACTGGGACGTTTAATTTGCAAACGGCGATAAGCTAGATCTAAGCCAGCGCAAAAGATAAAAATCAGAATAAAATTAAGTTGGAATTTAAAATCGCTCCTTAATGTCCTTAACATCTGTCGCCGATGTGAACGCATATAGTTATACCAAAATATGAAACTTCGATCTCCGCCGATCGACAAGAATCAATACTTGCGCATAAGAAAAATAAAGGCGGTAATATGAAAACGTTCAGGGGGCAAAAAAAGTAGCGATTATGATGAAATTAAACAGGAAAAATCGCTTTGCTGCCAATTTTCAATGTTTCTAATAATTTCCAAATCGACCTCCGACCGACCTTCTGCACTCCTGTTGCGTATAAAAAAAACGAGAGAAATTGAGAGCCGTTGAGGAAGAGCTGCGTGTTTGTCTCTCCTCAATTACAGAATAAAATATTTGAAACTCATCGCAACAGACCCAAATATCACACTAAAATACCATTTCTGTTTCTAGCTACCATAATCATAGTATTCATAAGCAAACTTGCAAAAACATATATTTGTACCGTACTTTAGCTCTTGTAGCTCTGAATCGGAATGTGTCACGTCTTTTCCTAAAGTTGACAAGCTATATTATTAATTTCGTTATTTTATTTTCATGCCGATATGATCGACGTCAGTTAATTGCATAATATAGTTTATTTCCAAAAAATTCGTTTGGTGTTCCGCCACAATTTTAGATTAAAAAAGTGTTCCGCGGTACAAAAAAGGTTGAAAATCACTGCTGTACAGGATTATTTAATATTTTATCTACTTTTATATGTTTTGAAGCTCTTTTAGTAAAAACGATGCTAGAAATAAAGGTCAGTTTGAGTCCTCCCTGACTTCATTAAAATCAGGAATTGAAGGACTGCCCGTCGAAATAAAGGATGGTTGACAATCCTAATTCTATTCCCCAAATTAATTGAAACGCTAAACATATTCTATCATTTATATTTCATGCATTTAATACGACTAACTTTTTATGACACTTTGAGAATATGAGCTTATTGTTACGCTGTTATTCGCGAAAATAATCAATAGTTTTAATTTAAATAATTCTACATCAACCCAATTTGTGTTATGAAGTTTTTACTCTTCCCAGTTAGAGCAATACAAAATACAAGAACGATTATTCAGAATGTTGTTAATAAATATATACCAAATGCGGATCCACTAATTGCGCCTCACGAAACTTCAAAGTTAGTAAAGTAGGTTTATTAGCAATGGCTATATAGGCCAGGGCCGCAAACGTTTGTACCAAACTTCAATACCAGCTAAGTCCTGATTTCGGTATAATTTACATCAGGGGTGGTTAACCTGTTTTCGCCCGTTATCGACTAAACTCGTCAAAATAGCGCGCGATCGACCGATTGATATTAAGGTCACGCACAAAAACGAACTAGTACTGAATAGGCAGATAACTGCAAACACGCATACAAAAAATTCCGCCGCTGCCAAGGTCGGCTTGGGCGCATTTTTATTGAAATCGCCACAGAATATGTATTTTTTATGTTCCATTTAATTTGTTAATTTTATTATTTAATTGTACTCAGAATAAATGTTTTAAGATTCATTTAATTCACGCATTTCAAATCGAAGACCTGGCCAATTCTTAGTCGTAAGTGTTGAAAATTTCTAAAAAAAACCCTACCTAGTATTCAGACACCAAATAATAATTATTCTCAAACCATGAAAGCTACAGGACCGCTCAAACTTCAGTATCTAATTTACAATTTTCTCCGAGTCCAATCCTTCGTTCGCTTGGAATTTAAAAAAAAATGGGCATCCTGATACCACTGCTACCGTTGCGAATAAAATTATTTGATATTGATGGATGGAATTATTTTCTGATGATAGTAGAACTGATATATCATTACTGTTTTTGTTTTTATTACATATAACAAAAATCCGCTCCCATTTAATTCATAACACATTTCTATCATTTGGATCATTCATTCTTCGAATGTAAATGGTTTTACTTATTTGTGTAGGCGATTTCAGGGGATAATTTGTAAAAAAAAAAACAATTCAATCGTAATGTTTGCAAAAAGTAAAGCAGTTGGCTGTTCAGTCACCTATGTATATACAAAACATGTACAAAGTTCAAAGGGAATTGGAATGAGGAAGCAATATTGGGGTGTGAATTTAATTATATTTCACACAAAACCCCAAGCAGTTTGTAGGTAGCATTTTCGTCAAACATCCCATGACTTGCATGACTTGGATCCGATTGAACGTGAATGCCGACGTAAGATCTTGCAGGATTGAATGGTCTACCTGGAAACCAACGTGTGTAGTCAGCTGGGTTTCCATTGGATAAATACATTCCTTTTGTCTGAAAGACCAAACAGATAAAAGATTAAGTAGTAAAGTTGCAAAACTAATAGATGCTGCAAATAAGGCCTAATTTTCAGGCTTGTCCGTGGGAATGGGAATCCCATGGAAAACGTCCCATGAGATGGGATGGGACAGCACACATTTGTATTTACTATGGGACACAAAAACCGTATGATTTTAAGGGAAATGATGGTAAAACATTTCGTTATGGACTTCGTGTCCATATATTTGAGCAAAGCTCTCTTGATAGTTAAAAATACGAAAATATATTCAGCATTAACAATATTCTTCGTGAAGGGGCTGATGGACACATGTATAAAGGTATGAATAAAAAATTAACAAAGTCCGGAAAATTTGGTGTTTTGCATGTCTCTTCTTACATGTAGTCCTATTTAGTAGACGCTAAACCTAAATTTAACATTTTTTAGTGAATTGTATTTCAATGGGAATCCCATGGGTTGGGAATGGGACAGAAAAATATGTCCCATGGACAAGCCTGCGAATTTACCATTCGGCATTCAATTTCGAAATATTATTCATTTTTAAATTTTAAATGTTGTTCCATAGTGTAACCGGTTTAAAATTGTATAAAACTTATAATTGTTTATTTTTCAATGAGGTTAAGAGTTTTTGTCATAATTATATGTCCAAATTTGAAAGACTCTCTCTACCCTTTTAACTTTGTAAATAGAATGTACTAATTTAAATTAACTCAATAGTTTCAGATATACAAATTTTCCGCATGCAATAAAAAAGATTTAAGAACTTTATTATATTTTTTTATTATTTTCGGGTCTTTTATTTCAGACCCATTTATTTGAAAAACGGTGTGACAATTTTATTTATCAGTAAGCTAATGCTTTATTTATCCTCATGTACTTAAATTCAACTTAATTATCCAATCTATAATTTTGCTAAAATTTTGACTAACATTTTTTAGCCTATGTTGATTGGATTCAGAGACTATTAGGACGTCAGTATTGAAAAGGGGTCTTATGAATGCAAAGTCTACTCTAGTGCAAGGCAGGGATGGCACTGGCCCGCTGGTCATAAAACAGCGCGAAAGTATAAAAACGGGAATCTTGAATGAACTTTTCAAAATAGATCTTTAACGAAAACTTACACTCGTATTCAATTCCATTCCCGTCCATATGTGATGATAATTTAGCCCGATGACGATGCGTGTTCGGATTAAGGCAACCATTCTATTAAAGTGCTCTTTGCTGTATATATTTGCAGCATTCGCTCCGATTGCATGACAGCTCGCTCTGGCTTCGAATACATTTAGTCGGTTATCGTTTGTGATCAACACGTAACATTTTCCATCGTACACTTCATCGCAATATTCTAAATATATATACGTGGCATTGTCAAAATATATTGATTATATCACAGAACTAACGAATTATTAAATATATACTTTCGTGATATAGCATACAAAACATTATGTTTCTTACTGTTTGTTTTTAATAAAACTTACTCAATTAACTAATTTAATTACAGTTTTGTATCAAACCTGAAGTACTCATAAATATTCCATATATATCATACCGAACTCTCTTTTTGTCGAACACGTTCCATGACCCTGGCATAGGTTTATTGCCAACGAAAAAACGGCCACATGAATGAAACTGCAAAATTTCATTTTCATTGACAATCTATCCAGTATCCACGAAAGTCTATATTCGTAGAGAACGCGGTAGCTTTTTGTCTCCTGTTTCATTTCGTTCTTATCTTGACACGCTACTTATAGTGTGGTACAATACTTTTTTCTCTTTTAGGCTGAAAGACTTTTTCTCTTAGCAGCTTTTTTCTCCGACGTGTGTGTGTGTGCGCGGTTGTTGATAATTTGAAGTTTATGATGTTTTATTCAATTTTTTCAGACTTAGACTTATTTATTTTTGTATGGGTAACAGTTTTAGAGGAACCAATGGTTTCTCTCAATTTTGTTCAGTTACTTATAATGTTAAGAAATATACGAACAACTTGAAAACCACTGTTCTAAATAAACTTTAGGATATAAGCTGCAAATTCCAACTATCACCTATTACATGGCGATAGGCGTAATTCAAATACAGTAATTTCGTCTAAATAGTTCGAAGCTGAAAAAAATGAGACAAACCTGTTTAAGCTTCATTAGCTACTTTGTATTATTTAATTGAATGTCTATTTGAGTTAAATTATTATTCTATACACAATAAGTCATTTTATCATGAATGATTCAAAAAAATAAAAACAGATATATATTGTGTAAATTTACCCTGTAATATTTTATTCTGAGTTTCAAATTTACTGATGAATGTTTTCCGTTTAGGAATCTATAGAGTTTATTGTTTCCGATATATATTTATATTTTAAATAAAGATCAAAATGTGAAATATTGATGCTGCCAAACAGTATTGGCGTGAGAAACTTTACAAAAATATTTCGCATAGTCATGCTACACTACAATTTCGATTAGTTGCGGGTTATTAGTCTTGCAGACAAATAGCATAAAAATAATAGGCAATATGCAATGGCTAAATTTGAAACAAGCGTAATCGGATGAAATAATTCATATGCAATGAATAAAAATGGTAAAAACTGAACAAAATCCCAAGACATTGAAACTGACTCCTTGTTTTTCACTGGTATATAAAAGGCAAAGGTTGCTCATTGGTTTTTATTTTGCAAACAAGAAAAATTTACGCGTTTGCGTTATAGGCTACTGTATATGTACATCTTATTTTTAAAATGAATAAACCTTTTGCAATAAGGGTTGTCACGACCAAGTCAGATAAATTTACGTTTGGGCATACAGAAATCGGTCTTTCCAAATCGTACCGACTAAACCAAAATTCAACAAAAATAAGTTATAATGGATATATACACAACCGTGACCTCGTCGTTGACAAAATAAGTGTCTAAAAACGTTGCGTAGTTTTGCCGACTAAAACCCCGTGCAGACAGATTAGCTAGACTTCTGGCGCCTCAATAGGGCGCAAGGTCAACTAAATGAGAAAAGCAAAATTCCTCTTGACACCAGGTATGTGCCCAAATTTAGCGAACACGTGACAAATCATTTACTATGATACATTAAGACGTAATCATTCCAGAATATTTCTAAATATAAAAGGGTACTCCTGAAGTACGCGCACCAAGATGTCGCACAACCTGAAACCCAAACTGGTACACAACCTGAGTTCAGGTTGTGCGCCATCTTGGTGCGCATACTTCAGAAGGTCCCAAAACTTTTACGCGATTAAATTGTCTTTTGAAATATAGGCTTTTAAAGCAATGCTATCCATATGTTAGAAGTGAATTTTCATACTAAATAAAAGTTTTTGTATTTGTTTATTATCATAATTAATATATTAATGGCATCATATGGTTATTTGGCACAGAAAGGGCTTCTGAAGTATCTTGCTAAATTGGTGTTGTTGTTGCAAGGGAAACAAAAAACACCATAGGCCTACTGATATTTTTTCAGTACTCAAGTGTTAAAATTTCCTAAGTTTTCGCTAATTTGCTATTATTGCTCTGTAAAAAAAGATTGCCCCAAAATAGAACCAGAAGCATAAGCTAACCCATTATCATCAAGCAAGCTATAGAGCTGGTTATAAAACTCTTATTGAATGACCCAGCGTAGTCGGCGGTAACCACCATAAGCACATCGCGCGTCGTTTTTTTAAATAAAAAGGCTATTGCATGCACCGACTAAAATAAATATAACAGACACGGAAAATATGTGATCAGTTTATGATATTTGCATCAATATGACTCTGCAGCGCACAGCTGCCATATATCATACGAATTTTTTTAATGGCGAAACCAATCCATAATTAATTCTTAAAAAACGTTACGATAAAGAAACATTTGCACCTGTAAACTGCACCTAGGAGTTGCACCTGCATGCTTCTGCACGCACAAACATTTGCATCCACGGACATTTGCACCCACAGATAACATCCACCCGCGTACATTTGCACAGAAGAACAGTTGCATTGGACATTTGTACCCAAGAACATTTGCACCCAGTCATGTTTGCGCCCACGTATATTTGCGCCTACTGACATTCGCACTTATGTGCAATTGTCAGCGAATACAAATGTCTGTGGGTGCAAATATACAGGGTACAAATGTACATGGGTGCAAAACTGCAAATGTCCGCGGGTTCAAATATACTGGGTTAATGTCCGGGGGTTTAAATGTCCGCGGGTGCAAACGTCCGACGGAGAAAATCTATTGTCTCCCGAACGGTAAAGGAGCGTTTCTATTTCTCCGGATGAACTGTGCCGCATTCAGGCTTGCAAAACACGATTGAGTTTTTACTCTAAGTTTGTTGCTGTCGTCGTCATGGCTGTTGTTATAAATTTCAACAGTTCAAGAAACTGAAGCAGGTCTAATTCACTGAGACAAATCTCATCTGCAAGATTTATGTTCTGGGAACTACTTCTTTTTCCCAGACCAGCGTCATCATATATGTTCAAAATTGTTTCTCTCATCATTTGTATCTTTATCTGAAGGTATGTCATTATAAATACACGCTAATTCATTGGGATTTTCAGCTGAGATTCTACTCCGCGCCATATTCCCATTTGTTCTGCTAGATCGATGAAAGGACAAATAAGAAATCTGAATCAATCTAAGGTACTTCTTACCACGCATCTAGTACACTAGTAGTAAATGAGAATTTAGGTCACGACTCTATAAAAGGCTGTCTACAACAAAATGATCACCTGATTGTATCTTATTCTTCATAATAAACTACGTAAGAAGCAACATTATCTGCTCAATTAATTCACATATTTGGTGAAACAGACCAATCTGAGCACATTTAACAACGGAAATCGATTTCTGACAGATTTAGGTCACTCTCGCATGATACGGCATACATTTTTCGTGAGCGCAGGATGCTGCGAGTTGCAAAAGACGCATGCATCGCCATCAGGCGGCGACAATGAAAATATTAGTTGCGTCGAACCACATTGGTCGAACCAACAAAGTCTCGCGGTAATATTAAAGGGCAGAAAAAAAACATGTAGATCGTGGCAAGTTAGCATTTAGCTGCTGCACACGTGCTACGTAGCCCTGTAAAAAAATCTGCTAAAATCTGTGGGTTAAATTGCCGATGGGTGCAAATGGATGCAAGTGTAAATGTCCTGGGTACAGTTTATGGGTGCGTTTATTCATGGTTACAAATGTCCGTGGGTGCAAACAAGAGCGTAGCCAGCCCAAAATCTGGAGGGGCCAACGTTTACTCGCGCCTTTTGCTCCGAAGAAGACTAGATAAAAGCAGTCACTGATATCTAACGACATGTTGAAGAATCTCTCTATCTTCTTATAGACTTACTCCGCTGTCGAATTTATCCAAGGTATACAAACGCGCATTTTCATCTACCTCGGTTGGTTCATTTGGTGAAAGGATTATTGATAGCAAGCCATTTTCAGTAAATCATAATGACGTAGGTGCTAAGGTATAGGTCCAATACTACAATTGACAACTGTCTTACATCAGTAAAATTTGTTATCTGTCACCCTCAACTGTATAGTACCCTAATATATATATACTGAGATAGGCTACAGTTTGGGATAACATTAAAATAAATTTAAAAGTTTTTTTAGAATTGTGAATGGAAGCGGAATGGAACAAATATGACAATATGTATCACTGAACAATAATCATCAGTTCTTCCCCACACTCAGATTTCCTTTACAAGTCTTTCATGACACTTATATGATAATTTCGAATGATTCATTCGGGACACTAATTTGCCTTGATATGAAACTGGTAAAGTAATTATTTCAATATTTTTTCTTCTTCAGTATAAAATACTAATTCTAAGGTATTGTGACACTGAACCGAATAAATTAACCTAGATCTGTTTGGACACTTTCCTATTTTCCTTTAAGTGAGTGTATTTAGGGTTTCCAACTGTAACAAATTTTATTTTTTTTTTAACAAATTTTAATGGACACTGTGACACATATTCCATAATTGACTACCAATGAAACTATTTTGAAGATATTAATACATCTATGATAGAAACTTTTTACAATTGTGTGCCACTCGCTGTTGGTTGTTTTGTGTATGTATAGTTCGTGCTTTTAGCATGGTAAAGAAATAAATTACTGGATACGACACAACTTGAACGCGTTTGCAACGAACGACTGGAAATAAAGGACAATTTACGACCTTCCTAACTTACTAGAGGAGCTCAAGAACAACCCGTTGAAATAAAAGATGGGCGCCAACCCTAGTTGTATCCCCCAAATTTATTGGAATGCTTAACATATTCTATGCATCTATCAGTTAATGCATTTATTACAGCTAACTTATTAATAACGTTTGAAAATATGAGCTTATTTTACGCATTTTTTCGCAAAATATAATCAATAGTTTTTATTTGGACACGTCAGTGTACAAAACGATCGTTTCAATATTATGTTGTTGTTCTTGTTAAATGTTAGTAATATTCTTCTCTTTCGTCATGATGAAATCGCTTTCCTCTTCGACAACTGGACCAATTGCTTTGAAATTTTCAGTGGTTGAAAATTGACCTGTTCGAACGTTCACGTGAATGTAACATTGAACAACGTCTCTCTGAAAGTGTTATCTACAGAAAAGCATGCTTGGGCGAATAAGTAAATTCTCAATGCTTGAAAACGGCAGACTATTTCATTATTCTTTATTCCTTTTGCTGTACATGAAAAAAATCTAAATTCGGATCAATTATTTCATTAGCGTCTATTCCTTTCTATTTTTCGAACTGAACCCGATATTTAGACAGAAAATATGCGTGTGAACGCTCGATGACAATATGGTCAATGAAGACAGCCGGGATGGCTTCAAATGTAGGCCTATGTAGTAAAATCGTAAACTGTAAAGTTACAGGATCACGGCTAAGGGGTCGTGTCTTTGGAGGCGCCCCGCTTTGAAGTCAAAAAATATGGTAACCCTAGGTAAGTTGGAACATTATTCTTATGAATACAGTTTTGATGGATTTGGGGTTAGATTTCAGGTTTAAGTAAATATAATTCTGAATGATAAACTAAAATCTGGTACATGAATTTGTGAATATATCGGTATTACTGATTACTGAATAGCGCCATAAACCCATGGCAAGAGACGCCGCGGTTCGTTCGTGGCAGGAGCTGCCATGAAGTGGTAAGAACTGTGACTCTCGGACTGGGAGTTATAGGCTACTCTGTCCCATTTACAAAGGCGTCCTGCACTGCAATGACGTCACCCATCATTCCCCGAAATTTTTGGTATAAAATCTGTATAATTAGGGCTGGGAATGATAAACCGGTTAACCGATTTAAGATGGTTAACGGTTACGATTTATTTTAACCGTTAACTGACATCTCAGGTACAAATCATCTTTATAGTGTACGATTTTTTCAAAAATGTTAACGTCATCGCAAATTTATCTTCTGTGGCGTTTAATTCAAAAGAATATCGCTAACTGTATTGATAAGGACCCAATAAATGTGAAAAATAATTGAAGTACCAAGATTGTTGAATATGAAAATTTGACAATCGGTCGAAATATATTGTTCACGATTTTTATTTCAAAATCGTATATTGCCAACCAACAAGTTCGTAGTTGATGCTGTTTTTCTTTATATATCTCAAAGTAAAATTTGCACATCGAACACAGAACATTTGTCACATAAATGACATTTAATAAAGGAATCGGGTTCTACTAAAATTACTTGGATATGTCCTAACCACGCCGCATATCTCTTGCAGCAGAGCGACCATGAAACTATCTCGAAAAGGTCACGCGAAATTGATTTGACCATTGTGACGTAACAAGATACAACTATTATGTGAAACGTCCGCTGCAGTTAACCGGTTAATTTTACCCAGTTAACGGTTAAAGTGTTTTCCTCGAAATTCCCCGCCCTTTGTGTAATACATTTATATTTATTTCATGGCAGCATTGAAAATATAAACATAATTGACCAAAATGGAATATGGCGTTTATATCAGAAAAAATGTGCAGAGCGTAATAGCCGAAATTTTTCCTAACAAACAAGAACTTTGCTTTGCTATTTCAGTTGGTTGTATTTTCTTTTTCCGTTAATGAAACACAACCACGTTTTGCTGGCATTGAATATTGTGGGGAGCATGAAATGTAAAATTAATTTTATGATGCCGAGTAGTCCAGTTCAAGACAATCAGCTGACAAAAGAAAACAAAACAGTAAAATTGTAATGGCTAAACTGATCTGACCCTATTTCAGGTTTTGTTTGACTCGCTGTAGTAAATGTGCTACCGCACCTCAATTCTTTGTTTGCAAAGATAATAATAGAATCCTATTTCCTGGCGGTGCACAACTGCGATTTCGAGTGCGTAATTCAGTGATACAGAAATAATACTATAATAACAGAATAACAAAGATTATCAGTTCCGTCGAGGTGTCGGTACTGGCACCAGACAGACAGACCTGCACAACAGACCATTGCATATTTGGAAGATCTTATTTTGTAAATTTCATAAAACATTTGAGTTCATTTTTAATAGGGTAATTAAATTCATTTACGTCCCACGGTATGGCAGTACCACCGTATATCTGTAGGCATAATAGTCATAGTGCTGTAGTGCAGTAGTGATGCCGTTGTATACCGTATTTTAGACAATATTCTGATATTGAGTTCATCGTATTATGTCTGTACTGCCTGTCTGTCCAAATTTCAGTATTAATGGTACATGTTGTCTGGTTTTGGTATACAATGTATAGATGTAGGAGAAAATGAGTTAATTCATTACGGTAGGTTAGCTAGATGGAAGATTTCTACAAATTTGATTGAGCGATCCGATCCTATAGTTGTATACTGGTATAGTCTCAGAGTCTACATGACATTCATTCATGCATCTATAACTTCTGAACTTTACATGCATAGGCAGATCAGCAGATAGGTTCATATAACTGGAATCGGTACCAGTACAGGTACAGCAGTACGGTACCTAACTTGTGGTACCGGTGCCATACAGGAAAAATAATCAGACCCTAAATTTATATCAGTAGATAGACTATACATTCTGACATTGTTTTTGTGTCGCTATGTTGGTCGAGAAGCATACGTATGTATGTTTATTTGCCTCAAAAATATAACAGTATCTGCATAATAATTAAACAGTAAAACAAAGACGGGATACTTCACTTGTTCAAGACCTTACTGGCCTAAGACACAGATGTGCGACATGCACCCCTACTAACAATTATAACAGCAGTTTAGGACTGCTGCATTATAATAGGACAACAGACATGAAATAGGCTATACAAATAAAATTCTGGTAAAATACACAAGACAAGGAGATATGACACAACGACGATATGTACAATATAGTCAGTTAGTTTATGGCACGTCCATGTCCCGGTGTGAGAGCATGAAGATCTGGTATGGGTCGCTAGAATGGTATGTTTTTTCAATGAATCTCACGAAACATGTAAAGATTTGTTCGGGACATAAACTTGCCAGAAACCAACGTTAGATGGGAATTTTAAAAGGGAAAAGTAATTACAGCATAAGCAAAAATACTGGAAAGAGCAATAACGCCAACTACCTGACTACGGTTCCAAACTATTAGCTACTGTCTGTTATTACCTGTATTGTGGTACGGGTATTACAGTACAGTGACAGTAATATACAATTGGACAATGGTGAATGGTCACAGTACTGCAGTAATGAGTTGAGCATTGCACCATTGACTGAATGATTACAAGATTATCATGCAGTCACAAATTCGTTAATGAACGGAAAGCAATTATTTAACTTGACAATTTTAGTACCATAACTTCATATTTTTAAATTTGATATTTTTGTCTCCCTGTGCATTTTCGTAGGCATATTTGTGTTAAATCGCAAAGCTGGCTTCCAACGTTAGTACCAGCCGCTCTCTGTCTTCATCAAACACATATTTGTTATTGGTGCCTACTGTCGCATCATCAAATATTGAGCAGAGCAAGCGACAGGTAGTCGGGAATCTTGTGTCACCTAATGACAAAAACAGTCATCATTTTTTTGGCTTGTTAGACGAAGAAGAAGAGGATAAACAGAATATTTTGAAGCGCAAAGTTCCAACAATTATTGAAGGTTCTCGACCATCTAATCCAAGGCAACCTACAGGTAGATTTTGAAATAGTTGTGGTTGTCAAATCTTACAAAATTATCAGCGTCATTTAAATCGTTACTAAAGGGTACAGTTTTATACTATTACACCTGATCACTGATAAGTCACTTACACATGAAATTGAATGTGGCTTTTGACTTCCAGGGAAGTAGGATGTCTGGTTTAGTGGTCCCCATACTTTTATTTTAACACACTGACCCGTGAAGTTTTGATGGTCATGTAAATCAAAAAAGCAAATTATCTGTTTGAATTTTTTGTTGATGATATCTGTCTGTCCCTGAGATAAAAATTTGCAAATACATTGTCACAATTGCTGGACCTGTAACAGTTATTTATATACAAAAGCAGGACTTATAGAGAACCTTGTAAATTTCCTAACTCTACGAAAATGAAGAAAATTTTTTTAATTAACATTGTAACTTTGTTGGATATATATCATGAATCTAACTTGTTACACTATTATCTATTATAGGTTCCTCAATATCTCAAAGCAAATTTTATATATTTCATAAATCATAATTATAATTTAATAAAATCGTAATTTTAGGTATGTTTTTGTGATTTTGCTCCAAGTTACTACATAACGAAATGTTCTTTCACACCATCTATCCTATTAAAGGTTCTCACGGAATTTCACGAGCGAAAGCAAATTCAAATCAGTCAGCAGGTCTTTCTCAGTGTCCAAGTAAAAGCATAAACACTAATCATAACGAATCAACCAGACCAGCAGTGAGACAAAAATCAGCTTCAACAGAAAGCTTATCAATGCTGGCTGAAAATTTATCACAGCTTGTGTCCAATGCAGAAGTTGCCTACACAGCGAATATTAATAAAGCACAGGTAAGAGAATTGTTTAAACTCCGCTGTGCTATTCTGTAGGTACGATGTCGATGACCCAGTGATTAAAGCATTAGACTTACCACCGGTTACACATTTTGTTCGAATCCCATGCCACCACATCATCCAGAGTGCAATACACAGAGTGCATTGGACTTCAAAAAAAAATTGAAGCTCTTTACGTATCGTTAGTTATCAGTGTCTGCTTGTGCAACTGCAAGGATATCAGCACTGATTTTCTGAGCTGCTTTTTTACATTTATTGAACTGAACCATTTTTTATACAAGCTAATGTTATCAAAGTGCATTTGTCGGTCATTATTTGGTTCGTTATTTTGTTAACAATTCCTCTGCACATAAATTCACTGCGGCTAATTAACCGATGTATATGCCACTGGGCCTAATTATGTATTTTCCTAATTAAAAAACCTGCTCTTTCTTTGCCAAATATATCAGCCGGAAGCCATTTTATTGAATATTTATTTCATAGCTTTTGGCAGTGCTGATAAATAGCATTTCCAACTGAATTGTGTTGTAGTAGTGAATGTTATTCTTTATACAATATAACTAACATTATAGCTTTATTAAATAACTCACTCACTTTTGACTATCAATTAGACTGTCTTCTTTCTTGCCAGTCATCTCCATCACATCAAAGTGAATTTTAACAATAACTTTCCAATAGAAAGAGTTGTCACTGTTGATATTATTAATAAATGGGGAAGTTAATATTCTTAAAATTTGGCATCTGCTGCAGAATTTGCAGTCGCTAAAATATGCCTTAATAATTTCGAAGGTAAGTTTGGGTGAGAATTTTGTAAATGGATACTTTATAACCCAACAATCTTTTCAAATTATAACCACTAACCACCAGATATTTTCTTTAAGAACTCTCATCGAAACATACCCATAGCTCCACAGTTACCACAACGACATCATAGTGAAAACAGTAAATCTAGTCCTGATCTAGCTAACTGGGTCAAGATGGATGAACAAGCACTGGTGAAAGATTTTGATGCAAATTTGTCTGGATTAGGACTGGAATTAGGAGCGGGTGCCTATAACATGAGTGAGGTGTTGAACCTTCCTATTTTCAAACAAGAAGATAGCATAGTTGCAAATACTGGTACACAAAATTTGCCACCGTTGCAGTATATGCTGCAAGCACCTACTTCACCTGCTTCAAAGGTACACGAGGAGACTTTGACTTATTTAAACCAGGGCCAAGCTTATGAAGTTAGACTGAAAAGGTTGAGCGATCTGCCCAATGTGCTCTCAAGCAAACTGGCTAAAAGTTTCTTAAGGGTGGTTTTTCATGACAGACGATTACAATACACAGAACATCAGCAACTTGAAGGTTGGAAGTTCAGTCGGCCCGGTGACAGACTTTTAAACATTGATATACCAATGTCTGTTGGAATTATGCAGCCAAGACAGCCTTCCAACTTGCTAAACCTTGTGGAATTTGTGTGGGATTTAGACAAACAAGCATCAGTGTATGTCCAAGTGCATTGTATTAGTACAGAATTTACACCTAAAAAACATGGTGGTGAAAGAGGGGTTCCTTTTCGAATACAGGTAGACACATACAGTCTAGATGGAAATGGTGAAATGGGTGAACACATTCATTCCGCAAGTTGTCAAATTAAAGTTTTCAAACCAAAAGGCGCAGATCGGAAACAGAAGACTGATAAAGATAAGATGGAGAAACGCACTGCCCAAGAGAAATTGAAATACCAGCCGTCATATGAATCTACTCTCCTCACTGAATGCTCACCCACACCTATGAGTCTGTATGAAGATGCTTTGAGTGTGTTAGATGCGGAGCAGCGTAATGAACGGCAGCCATATAGTGAATCACCAATCGACGCTGCTGTTGAGGTCGACTTATCCGCAGGTGGAAGTTATTTAATGGAGGAGGCTTCACCCGATGGAACTAATGGTGGGCGCTCATCTCTTCCTGGCAGTTATAGTCGGAGCTATATGGAAGCTGTTAGAACTGTAACCCAACAACAAGTCCCATGTCCACCAGTTAAAGGCCCAGATGTATTACAGCCATATGCAACCACTGCACAAACCATACAATGGTTGCAACGCAACAGATTTTCCACTTTCGCAAAAACATTTAACAGCTTTTCAGGGGCTGATATGTTGTCACTAACCAGGGAAGATTTAATACAAATTTGCGGTTCAGCGGAGGGTATACGACTATACAATTCACTGCGAGTTAAAAAAGTTCAAGCAAGGCTAACTTTGTATATGACACCTGCAACGCCAGAGAGTGATGGAGAAATTAAGGTTTACAGGGCATTTTATCTTGAACAACTAACTGCTTCTGAGTTAATTAAGGAAGCGGCATCGCTTTTCGAGCAGCAAAATGGTGGTGGAAGGCCACATATTACCAGGGCCTTATATCAGCCAACGAAATCCAACGTACATGTACTTGTCACTGATGAGCTGGTTGGAACATTGCGAGATGAGCAATGCTTTACAGTACTTGTAATAAAAAATGAGGGAAGCGATGGATTTCAAATTATATTGAAACAATAAATAGCCATGTAAAATGGTTTGGTGGCTTGCCCTCATGGAACAAGGATATGTATTGTGTTGGGGGTTCAGAAATGTGATTTGATAGGCTGTTTAAATATAAATGTTGCTAAATCCAAATTATGAACTCAAAGAAATGCGGCAATATTTGAAACTCTAGGTTTTTTGTTTTCATTGAATTTTAAAAATTATGTACTAAAAGTAACACATGGAAAAAAGTCTGCAAACTTATTTTCTACATGTTAAAGGAAATTATCTGCCACATTGGTATATTTGTGCTGATTTGACAAAGTAATTGTTCGCGCTGTTAAGGTATGATTTCCAATTCCAAAGTTTGGTTTTTTTTTGAATTTGCTGTACCATGTAAAATACGGTGGTTGTTTTTTATTAATTACTGCATTTTGCAATGACTTTTTCTTACAAATTGCAATCAGTAATGTCGGCATCTGCTCCATATTGCACTCTTTATATCGCTTATCTGTATGTTTTTTGCATTCCTCATGAAGTCAGTCATGCCCATATATATATGTAATTAATTAGTATATTTGTTCTTGTCTAATTGAGAGGCGCCAGAGCTCAAATGATGTTTTAACGAAAGTCATTAAAATCTTTTCATGAATCATTTCACCAGTTCTTAGTCGTCAGATACCATGATGAGGTAAGATATAATAAGGTTTGTACAAGCTACCATTCAGACATCTTCAGCTGCCAATTTTCAAAATATGCATTTCTATTCGATGTTATACCATCAGACTGCATAGAATATATTTAGAGCTAGTCGACTTAGCCAGAAATATAGAGCTATAAAAAACGTTCCATCCCACTTAGAGCAACCAAATCTTGACCACTGAAATCTTAGTTTGTCTTGGTGTTTTTATTAGTTTGTTAATTCTTCTCCTCCGGAAAGTTCAAAACTAGCTTTATCTCTGATACTTAATACTGACAAAAATAGGGATCTCTGGCCGCAGCCCTGTCTTCAGCATGATTGACGTCTGCTATGTAGGCCATGTCATAGCCAGGTGGTCATTGCAAGTTTTTGAAGAAACCAGTAGACTTAGAATACTGCTTGAATATCAGTCCTTTCAAGATTGCAAGTTTTGAAGAGGTGATTTTTCAGTCGATATTTCAATATTAAAGGGAAATTTTCTTTAATGCACCATGGTGAAATTTTTCAAATACCAATGGCTTTTCAGGGAGATTTTTAACATAAATATGAGGTATGCAAATTAAAATTCCTGTCATTTTTATAACAATCCTTGTGGCTTGGGTATGGATGTTCGAAATTACAGTAAAAAGGTTTTGAAATATTGAGGATGGCATATGATTTCCGAGACAAAACGTCAAGTCGCAATACTTTATTGGACACGTAGTGGACATAACGATCGTTTCAATATTATGTTCTTGTTCTTTGACACGTTTTTAAAAAGTCGCTTTTCTCTTCGAATACTGGACCAATTGCTTTGAAATTTTCAGTGGTTGAAGATAAAATTTTTCTCCAGAAGGCTATTATTTTTTTTTTTGCTATGACGTCATCAAAATTATTGCTATCGGGTGGCGCTACGTGTCCATATATTTGAGCATAGCTCTCTTGTCTTAAATTCACATCGCTTGTATAGGGGTGGGATAATGAAAACGCGTTGTGATTCTGCAAGTAGCACGCGGCAATATCTTTATTTTGCATCGAAACTAATGGCTTTAGCGTGGTTTTATTTTCCACTTTCTGAAAAAAAAAATTGCCATGTTAGAAACGAGAACTATTATATACACATTTCAATGTAATAAGACTGAGCTCATTAACCCTTTCCGTGCGGTGGGCACGTATACGTACCCACGACAAAACTCGCTAGTTTGCGGCGGGTACGTTGATGTACTCCACTGTTTTATTTAGCAATCGGTCGCAAACTGTTGGTCTAGTTTTTCCGGGTTTTAGTTTATTGATAAGAAGCCTTCTTCGAGATTAACATAAGCGACGGTAAATCTCGCTTTCGTTTACCATGGGAGTTTTATTTGCGGCGGAACGAGGGAGTGTTTTTGATTTATGCAAATTTCGGTGTTTTTTGGGTGGTAATAGAAGACATATTATCCCTTCCATCTACCAAAGTATTTTGAGTTAGATAACGAAATTGCTACAGTAATATTATGCTATTGTTTGCCAACCAAGAAGCGGTAACAGTAAAGGATTTAGCGAATATTTCTATTTTTTATCACGGCTTGAAGTTTCAACACCCAAGAAAAAAAATGTCTTTTTTCTATCCTGTTTGTGACTCAGACCACCCCTTCTGAAAAAAAAAAAAATTTTTCAATCGCCAATTGCAAGCTCTTTAAATAAGCTTTCCAACGAGCCGTCAGTGGGCAGCAGAGGATCATTACTTTTTCGTTAGTCGATCGATTAGTTGTGGGGGTACAAATGCATAAAGTCGGCGTAGCAAATACGATTATTTAATAAAAAATAAAAATCGCATGGAAAGGGTTAATGATTCGTCGCAATTCCAATACGATATTCCAAGAAAATTTGAAACTTTTGAACATGTAAGAAATATGAAGCTTCGAAGATTTTTCGCCTAAAGTTACACTAAATACTTGATACATTTAGTTTTTTTCCTTTTTTATGGTCCCTTAGAATCTGGGACGGCCAAACGGCTTGTACGGAGCCAACAATCATGAATTCAGTTGAAGCAAGGTTTAAGTATAACTTGTTGCTTTTAGCTATAGAATGATCATGCTTATTTTTTTTTATTGATCGGCTCCTGCAATGCATCACAACACGTGGATGAATCAGTAAGTGCATGATCCTCTGCGAAAAGAGTTGAAACCCTATTGATAGGTCATTAATATAAATTAAAAACAGAATAGTCCAAGAATGTTCCCCTGTGAAATGCCACGTGTAATATATTCAAACAAAGAGATAGTACGGATGCATTTAATGTACTGATTTCATAAATAGTTTTTATCAATCATTTTATTGCCAGTTATGCTGATTATAGAGTAGATATAAACTTATACTTTGGCCTATATATATATACTGCTGTTGTTTACTCAGTTAAGAAGGCGATATGTTGGAAGTTTTCTCTTTCACGTTTGTTAATGCAAGTTCAAGTTAAGTAGTAAATTTGAAAAACGAATTGGAATTCGGTCAGTACACTTGTATTGGTTTTGTTCGTTTTATGGCGCCACATTATCAGTGAAAAATACTCGCACTCACACGAAAAAAATGTTTGAATGCCTTCAAATAAAGCTTAATTTCGTGATCGTTGATGTATCGATGAGCTAAGATTGATTTTGCAGTTTTTTATAAATCTCTCATGCCCTATTGTTTCTTCTAGACATTATTAGATTTTCCACTTCATAAGATGCATTCCCTGTGATTTAATGGACCCAAACTTTGGAACTCTCTCCCTCAAGTTTGAAAACATTGAAGTCTAAAAAATCTTTTCAGAAATATTTCAAGTCTCATCTAGTCTCCAAATATTAAAAATTACTGTTTCAAAACCTCACTGACACGTGTTAATAGTTTCGAATCAATTAAATCCTCAAAGTAAATGAATATCTTTTTGACGATCCATGACAAAAAGGTGGCACACTCCACTTGCACTTTGTATTTTTCATGGGAATATTGAACAGCTGTAAAAATCCTGTTATAGTTCCTGCAACTACTAACTACTGTGACTAGGTGTGCTGTGTAGCTCTTCTATACCTGTTCCAAATTTTAATTAGTCTTGTTTCAATCGCAATCTGGTGAAAGCATTCTTATCATTATATATATATATATATATAAATATAATGTGTTGTTTGCTTTATCAGATAGTAACTGACATACTTGAATGGTATTTTAATATAAATAGCTGTTCACATTCTGACAATTGCATGGTCATGCTTCTTTTCTTGGTGTGGGATCATTCTTTTTACACGGGTTTTAATTTGATGTGGGTATCTACTTCTTAATGTAAGCATGCACTTTATGTGTAGGTAAGCTATTGCCATGAAGTTGACCAAAGTGTAGATAGTGTGATGTGATCAAAGTTGAGTGTTTTTGCATGGTGTGACAATTGTGTCCATAACAGAAATTGCTTTTGGATTCTCCAAACACCAATATAAATTGATAAAAATTTAATGATCAATACCTCCTAAAATCAATTTAACAATTTCATTTATTTCCTGATAAATAATAGGTCACCATATATTCAATCTTTTATACGCCTACTCACAGATTGTTTTTTCGTTTTCCAGGCTACATCACAATCATCGAATGACGTGAAATGTGTGAAATAGTTTCCAAAACCTGACTCTTATGAATCTTCCGTGTTAATCTCAAAACATTCTCAATTCCTTTATCCTTGCTCCCACCTTTTATAACCAATAAATTGCAATACCTACCTCATTATCAATCCCCTAATCTAATTACTGTATGTTATACTTAAACTGTTACCAGTAGTATTTAATAAATATGATGTAATCTGGACTACAATTTGACAATATTGTGGCATGTCCTTGGTGAAAGAAAAGGTTCAGCCTACCTATTCATGCACTCTACTTTGGCAACTTTGGTTGGCCAATTTGGCATTTGATTCCAAGTTTAATCAGCTTGGCAAAATCATTTTTATGTTCTTATTATAAATACTGTTCACTCTTGTTTGGGAATTTTTATAAAATTATTAAAATGGTGTGGCAAACAATTCTTATTTTTTATTACATTTCTTATCTTTCATTCTAATTTCTGTTTTACGTGTTTATTTTTTTGTTGTTATCATATAATTTATCATAATTTATCTAAAGCTTCTCTCTTTTTTTCTAATTTTATTAATGCTTTATGGTTGTGTGTGTGAGTGTGTATGATTTGATTCAATAGTTTTGGGTGAGTGAACACGTACCACTTCTTTTTGACATTACCTTCCATCTTATATTCTGTACGTTTTAAACCTCTTCCAAGGTTTTGTTTACTCTCCTGATTTCATAATCAGTTTTTTTTATTTGTTTTTATTAATCGTTTTATCGACTTTGTGCTTATTATGGAGTCGAAATAAACTTATCTTATCTTCCTGAAGAAAATAGAGGTGTGGAAAAGGGTGCCAAATCCTCTGGGATGGCCCAATTTCGGAAGCAAGCAGGTAAAAACGATACTCTTTTTTAATGTATGTTGTCTGCCAGTCCTAAACTGCTGCTATACTTTTCAGAGATGCATGTCCCACATCTATTTCTCAGGCCAGTCAGATTTTGAACATGTATCCCGTCGACTCTCTTTATTATGCAGATACTGTTACATTTTGGATGCAAATAAACAAACATACACACATTTCATCAGATATTACCTCGCTATTATTACTTTTTGCGATTAACTTCGATAAATGACGGCGTATTATCAATTTTTGTCGATATTTCGAATTATCTTCCATGTTTTAGAAATATTTTTCGACTTTTCTTCGTAGTAAATGTTTTTATAAACCGGGATTGAACTTTCTAGGCGTCTTTTAAATAAAGTTTGCGTTCTAATAATTTTCTATATGATATAGTTTTATTTTGATTTCCCCGAAAACATACATAAAACATAAAGAAAGAACACACAAAGTATAAACAACGAACACACAGAAGTCTGGAGAAATCGGGGAAACTAGCGAAACTCTAGAAGTGTTTAAAGCACATAGAAATGTATGTGCCTGTTTACCCATATCACACACGCAATTCACAAACATCAAATAAAAACACGAACGTGTATAGTTCGGGCGTGTATCATGAACAAACTGCAGACACGAAAGGTATGCGCTTTATTCTGATTGATTTTACCAGGCCGTCAACATTCCATATTCATTCTGATCACTTTTGTAGACAAGTTTCAATTAAGTATTGGAAGTGATGTCTATTTTGGGTTGCTGTTGCGATTCATTGCAGCTGTGATATATTCGAGATAATTTTCTTGCGGAAAGTGAGAAAAGTCTCGCCCTGCATAGTTTTGTATTGTTTACGAATTGGTTTTATCTCTATAATAGGAGAAAATGATCAGGCAAATCATTGCAATTGCAATATTTGTTTTGACTCCTAATTGGATTGCACTGAAACAAAACTTTCTTGAAATTCAGCCGCTGACTCATCTAAATTATACAATTAGAATATATACATTCTCATTGCGTTATCTGAGAATAATAAAAAAAGTATAGGTAGATAAAACTTAGTTTTTGACTCCGAAAGATTCAATCTAGAATTTCACTTTACGCTCGACAATTTCATGTTGCTAATTTGCCATTTCAACCTTTTGAACGTGTAGAATAGAATTTTACAAAGATAGGTGAAGTTGCCGGTGAAGGGTGAACTACCCTGAATATGTTATGCAATGAGAATAGTCTTATGCAAGATGTGGAAAAAGAAGCAAACTTGCGTTAAAATAACTGTTCAAATACTCTTTTGCGGGAAGATATTTCAGCGAAAACACATTACGCCATATACTCGCAAACTCGAGCACGCTGTCTGGCTGTATTCATGAGATGGAAGGTGGTGCAGAGCAAAAGTGCTTCCCATTCAACCAGTTGTCGGGTTAGGATAGGATGTAGGCCGGTTACCGGTACCATTCCATGTCCCGATGTCGGCCCGGGTATACTATATGGGATTAGTTAGCTACCGCTACCGTATTTGTTTTTCGGAATGGACTTGAGACTTGATGACCACTTTGTGATTGCTTGTATGATTATGTAATATTGTGTATATTTTATAAGTCTGTAAGGAATACCGGTATCTAAATAAAAAACGGCATCACTGGTGCCGAAATGCAGAAATGTAAAAATCAGGCTTGCAAAAAATATTGTGTCAAATCTTTTTCTGAAGATTTTAAAGTAGACTAGAGTCTCACTAGACCTTGGTTTAAAAAGAAAATCTGATAGCTAAAATACAGAATACCGGTACGGTACCATATCTAGGCATAAGTTACACATATTGTAGTCTATGATGGAAATTAAATACCTATTTATGCAGAAACGTAGTCTATATTAAACACTTGTTTGATTGTGTAGTTTGCAGAAAATTTGCCATGTTATTGCAGTATTGAGTTAATTCTGTAAATATTGAAGTTTAAAGATTAGTGTTCTTCAGAAAACACTAGTTTTGTTAGTTGTATCTTGTATGGTTGTAAGCACATGATTTTCGATTTCTCTCTGAATCTCAAAAGAATTTGCTGGGGATGGAAAATATGAATTCATCTGTTCAAATTTATTTCAACTCAATTATATTCAAAATTTCAAATTCCTAATTCAATGAATAAAAAGCTTTATTTCAAAAATTATCATTTTAAGCAATTGAAATCCCAAAGTATAACCAAAAACGCCTTCATTTTATTTGAAAACTCTAAAAGTGGAAAATAAAGACCACTCAAATCCACGTTTTCCCAGCAAACCTTTATTCCCAAATTCGAACTCATCAAATATATATTGACTACAGTGACAGTAATACCTCGATAGTCTGATAGTCGAACGACTCAACAATTACAGAATTAGGTAGTCAATCCAAAAATTCTTGTCCAAAATACGGTAATGGAACAGAAATCTGGAGCTCGACCACCAGCTGTCCAGAACCGCAGATCTCGGATGCCTCTTGACAATTCTGCAATTCAACAAGCTTCAGTTCAAATAAGAACATCAGTGGGATAACATGATTGATGAATAAATGATTGATTGATAACATGTGTTGAGAAATTTTCTTAATTTATTGTCTTCTCGCCATTGATCATGGCTCCAGACTGCCAGAGAAAAGTTGTGATAAAGGGAAGGAGATGAGGAAAACAGTGAGAACAACTATCGAGTTGAAAAAATAAATTATTGAGAAGAGAATGATGTTCGGGTGTCTAATCTTGCCTTACCTGCAGTATGGCACGGAGAAGTTTACCATTTTTTGATATTTTTATCTTTATTATGTACATATTTTAATAATTAATGTTGTTTAGGTACACGTTTTTTTAATACTTTCGGTATTTTGGAATGCGTAGAAACGAATTCAGATAATTATCTTTGTTTTTCTTATGTCAAATGTTTCGGTTGTCGAGCACCAATCCCGAACGAATTATCTTTGTATCACAGTATTTGATATTCTGTTTATATATTTAAAAGACTATTTTGAAAACTATTCCTGGAATATACAACTCTACCGAGGGTTATCATGTCACTATAGTAGCACTTGCTCGCAATTGCACTGATCCAATGTCACTTTACTGCATCCTAATAATAACTCTGTTTATTTAGACCCAATTTTTAATGTGTTTTTATTTTATTGTTAAACTTTAGACAGTCATTTGTAATATCTTTAAGTCGTTAATATCTTCAGATCTTAGTATTTAGTTTTATTTTATCAAGTATTTAATTGTACAATGGCTACAAACAATTCCAAAGGTACTAGACAGAAATCTGCGAAGAAGGCTAACTCCCAACAAGAGAGGCCGCATGGTAGACGTTTCACTCCACGGAAACGAACTAGCGAGTGTGAGGACGATGGAACATGTGATTTATGTGTCCAATCAATAAAGATTTATGCAATTGGAAACTGTGATCATCCTATATGCTACAGGTGAATTGTTTCTGCATGCTTTCACCTGTGCTGGTGATGTCTGTAAATAACATAAAGTTGGGTACTCCCGTAGTATGTGTACCAGGTTAGGCCATAATTTCTGATTTTCCTTATTTTCGTAATATTGCGAGTTCGGGACTGTTTGTGTTAGCCAAATGAATATACCCCTGCCCATAGGCTTCTGTCCCTTTACACAACTTGATGTAAAGTAGGTGAACAAAATTAGTTATTTCCATATTGGTACACATACTTTCGTAGCGCCTAAAGTTGAATATATACATTGACCAGACATAAAAATTTGAGGTATCTTTTAGTTTCGTACCTTTAAGTACTTCTAGTTGGCGTAACAAAATGATTTTTGCACATTTCAATGCGACGAGAAAACGAGAGAAATAGCTTGCTTGATTCCGGGTGATCGACTGCGCGTCTTGGATGACAGTTCGTATAGTTTGAAGGGCCCTATTACGTCAATGTGATGTCGTAGTGACGTGATTTTTGGATGACGAAGTCAGGTAGGGGTTAGGATTGACATATGCAAAAATTATTTTGCTACGCCCACTAGAAGTACTCAAGGTACGAAACTACACTAGATCCCAAATTTGTACCTCATTTTAAACATGTCGTTAAATTTACAGGTGTTCTGCAAAGATGCGTGTTTTGTGTGAGCAGATGCATTGTGCTGTTTGTAGAGTGGAATTAACAAAGGTAAAATATTGAATGGTCAAAAAAAACTATACTTGCTGTGGCGTAGTCAGAATTAATTTGATGACTCAACCTCTGTAATCCCCTCTTTCTGGCTGCCCCGCTGTATACTGGTCCATAAAGATGGATTATTACACGATGATATAATATTGATAGCTAACTTTCTCTGGTACTCCGGAAGTATGTGAACCAAGATGCCGGACACCGGAACGTAGTATGTGTACCAGGTTAGGGTTGGGCCAAAATTTTATTCCAATTTTCCTTGTTTTAGTTCTATAACGAGTTTTGGAGTTCAGGGACTAGCCAAGTGACTTCCGTAGTATTTGTACCTGAAATTATGGCCTAACCCTAACCTGGTACACATACTCGTTCCGGTGTCTGCCATCTTGGTTCACATACTTCGGGAGTACCCTTTCTCTTGTAGTTGTAGTAGCGTCTTGATTGATACATTTTGGAGACATAATATGTGATATTTTGTGATGTCTTGATATATCTATTTTTATACAATCCAGGTAGTTTATTGCAAGTCAAGACGACCATTCAAAGAAGCAGAAGCTTTGAAATTAATTCGGGGCAAAAAAGGAAATGTGTTTTTCACTGATGAAATTGTCAAGAAAGAATATGAGTATGTTTCAAATATTTTTTGTGGATTATCTTTCATTTTCTAATTACCAGTAGATTGAGTACTTTGAAATTTGTGAAATATATTCTAAAATTGTTGGATTGTTTTGTTTTTTACTGCCGATGACTTACTAATAGACTGACATTGTTTATAACTAGTTCTAAACAGGCTGATATATAAATGAGTCAATAATTATTTCAAAATATAAGAATATCAATTGTCACAATTCAATATCACAATTCTTAATTGTGACAGAGACCTCTTTTCGCACCCTGCCATATTAATATTATGTCATGTCTGTTGGGATTCATCACTATCGTTCTGCAAATGCAAAAATAATGATTTGTGTTATAGTCATCAATTCCTGACCTATTAACTATGAAATGATTTTATTTCTAGAAAATTGTTTGAACATCATTGTTCGATTTGTCCTGAAAATCCTCAGGAATTCTCGTTTGACAGTCTGGAATCTCATATGAGAAAAGAACATAAATTGTTTTATTGTCATCTTTGCGTCAAATATAATACGGTGAGATAAACTGAAACAAAATTTTGAGGTAGCCTCCAAAATGAATTAATTATAGAAGCAATGGAACAATAGACATTTATCCTTGTTAATAATACATCTCAAATGGGAGAAGTACATGATGCCAATAATAATATTGCCAACTATGCTGCCTTTTCAGGTTAGATATGCAGTGCTTTTGCTTTGGTTATCACAGATCAATGGTGTTCTCAGTCACCACCTCGCCAATGATTCAACAAATTGGATACAATTAAAATATTTTGTTCATGGTATTGCGAGCCCCATACCACACAGACTTGTTGCATCTGGCTTTTCTATCAACACTATAAAATAGCTTATATAGTTAATAATTATGCACAATTTTATTGTGAATCGTTGTTTCTATTCTATCTTCTCAGAATTTTACGGATGAGTGTAAGACGTATTCTCGAGAAGATCTTGCAAAGCATCGTAGAGTGGGAGATGAGGATGACACTTCTCATAAAGGTTAGGGGAAAATTTCGAACGACTTCCTATTATTTTTCCCTTATATTTTATATATTATAGCTTTGCTCTGTGATACCGATAATTAACTTGAAGGGAGATTCAGGGAATTGTTTCAGGCCATCACTACTAGAGGTGATATTCTAGATCAGAGGTGTGCAACCTTCAATACAGGAGGGCCAGATACAAATACCTGGGTGAAACCGCAGGCCGCACCTTTATTTAGCATAGGCTTTCTAGTAGTTGCAACCACGAAAATTTTGGTTATTGATCTTATGACATGCGTTGTCCGCTTTGCACAAGTTATCTGTTAGGGCATTGTAACTTCATAGCAGGCATATATAATAAATTAGACTCAGGTATATGCTTTGCAACGTAACAGGATTGGAATTACTTGCACATACCAGATGAAATTAAATTAATAACTCGTTTCGTGGGCCGCACACCGTTCAAAATTGGCACTGCTACGCGGATCACACAATTTTCTCTTGGGGGGTGCTTTTGGCCCGCGGTTTCACATCCTTGGTCTAGATATTTTGTTTTTTAAAATACTTCCTCCTGTCTTTCATTTTTGTATATTTTAGTTTTTATTGGTTTTGTAAAAGGTCGAGTAAATTTGTATTATTTATATTCCATTCCTCTGTTTCTTCATCGTAATTATATATCATTTAGTTTACCATTCCTGGTCCTAGCTTAAATTATAGTATTTCCCCAAATTTTTTTTTTTCATTGAAGGTCACCCATTATGTGAGTTTTGTGATGAACGCTACCTCGATAATGATACACTACTTCGTCATCTCAGAAAAGATCATTATTTTTGTCATATTTGTGATACTGCTGGGAATAATCAGTATTATGAGTAAGTACTTTATATAAATCTTATATCATAAAGAATATTTTGCTAAGCTGTTGATTTCCAGTTTAACTTAGTTCTTGTAAATCAGTTTGACTTTTAATATCTAAATTTATTGTGTTTTTTATGCATTTATGAAGTCAAAAGAATGTATTGGAATCAAATATAAAAATTACCTTTCATTAAATGAAATAAAATTCTTAATACTCTTGATTAATGGTCATCCTTGGCTGCTGATTAAAACTGATGATTTTGTACTTTTTCAGTGGATATGCAGACCTTCGCAATCATTATCGCAAAGAACATTATTTATGTGAGGAAGGTGATTGTGTTAATGAACAGTTTACTTCAGTTTATGCAACAGAATTAGACCTCAAGGTTTGTGGTCTTTTGTCTATATTATGTCATATTACATTTGATCAGTTTGTCTTGTCAGATTTTGAAGCCAACGGTGTGCAGCTTGCGGCCCGCGGGCCAAATGCGATCCACAAGAAAAAATTGTGCCGCCCACAAAGAAGTGCCAATTTTGAATGGTGTGCGACCAACGAAATAAGTTTTCAATTTAGTTTGATCTGGTACGTGCGAGTAGGCTAATTCCAATTCCTTTGCGTTACAGAGCCTATACCAGAGTCCAATTTATTATCTATGACGTTACAATGCCCTAACACCTAGTTTGTGCGAACCTTACAACATCTGTCATAGGATGAATAACCAAAATTTCTGTTTCTGCAACTACCAAAAATCCTGTGTTAAATAAAGGTGCGGGTCGCGGTTTAACCAGTCATTTTTAAATGACCCTCTTGTATTAAAGGTTGCACACCCCTTGGACACTGAGAAAAATTACATAATATGGGTGCTGCGACTTGTTGAATTCTTCTGAGTACTTGGTGGTAACTGCTTTCGATGTATCATAGCCACCCAGTCTATACCAAGAACTATTTTGCTTTCTATTAATTATGTTTTGTTGTGTATATGTTTTCTGGTGGAAAAAACAAATAAACTCTCCCTACTCTTTGGTGCTTTTTCAATTTGAATATTGAGTTGTCTAATTTGGCTGTCACTTTGTTATTGTTGTTGTGAAAAAATCACTTCTTCACCAATATTTGACCAATCGACAAATTTTCAGTACTTTTAAAAATAGGAGTTGCTAGAAGACTATCACACACTTTTCCTAGTCATCAATATTTTATTTTAAATGACCCTGTTTTACTTTAACTCACAGGTACATTTTTACCAAACATTTGGCTGTAATTTTGCTGACATTGTGGGGGTCCTCTGAACCTATGTCCATATATTTGAGCAATGTTTTGTTATTATCATCTACGGTAGTTATCGAGTTTTTTGTTTATTTATAATCAATAGGCTCATCGTACAGCAGCACACTCTCAAAGTATGTCTCGACAACAGCAAAAAGTGGAACGGAGTATCGACCTAGGTTTTCAATATGCTAATCCACCTGCTAGGGGAAGTAGAGGTATGTGAGAATAATTTGAAATATTAAGAAAAATGTTTATTTCGAAAAGAAAAAAAATAATTTGAAAAATAATACACCAATTGCTAACTGTTGCTGTAAAGTGAATTTGAATCCAACTGAGGCCTCCTTGACTAGGAAAGGCTTAACAGGGTTTGTATTGTTACCACTAAAAATTTTGTGCCTAGATTGGTTATTAATTAATATGGAGTTAATTTTTTGTTTCTAAATTTCATCACTATATTTTTCAGGTGGCAGAGGAAGAGGCCGTGGTAGAGAAATTCCTGATAACAAAAGGTAAAGAATCCCATTTTCTTACATCTCTCACTTAAAATGGACTATTTTCGATAGATAATTGACAAATTCGAGTACATAATGGTGATATTGTAACAAAAGTTTTCTGACATCTAGGCAACAGCTTAAAAAAGGTGTTCCTACCTATGTTCTATTGGTTAAATTTCGATATTTTTCTTGCAGAGAAGAACGGGATCTAGAACTGGCTAAAGCACTTTCATTATCTGAGAAAACCACACAAAATGATACAAATAAAGATAATTCAAAAGTCAAGGTTCGACCCAGAGTTCAACGAGAACCAGAACCTAAGAAACCTCAACCGGAAGAAGAACCGCCACCGCCAAATCTGGTCCACGACTTTCCAAGTTTGGGTGCGAAAGAACCTGAGACTCCTGCGAATCTCTATTCCTACTCTAACACTCCAAAGACAGAACCAATGAAACCATCGGAAAAGCAAGAAATTCAGAAAGACCATAAAATTCCTCAAGCCACAGCTGCTCATAAAGTTGCAACCGCCGTGGGTCGTTCAGCTGGTAAAATCAACGATGACGACTTCCCGACGTTGGGATCTAGCAATAAATCGAAAAATATTCAATCGACTGGATACTGGGGATCATCTAACCCCTCACTCCCGAGTTCACAGAAATCCAAACCAAATAAAATGCCCCAACCTGTTAGTGTCAATATCCCTCAATCTCGTTTCAGCAATAGCAAAGTTAATTTTCAAAGTAAAGATGACTTTCCTACTTTGGGATTGGGAGGTAGAGGTCCTGCTTTGATGCAAGGACAGAGCACGATTTGGGGCACTACCGCTCCTATGCCGGTCCAAACAGTGCAGAAGAAACAGAAAAAATCAAAAAACAAAACACCGGTTGTGAATCCGGAACCAGGTAAAAAATCAGCATTGAAATCTGCACCCCCTGCTGCTATGACTGTTAATTCGAACCCATTGGCAAATGATGAAACAGTTTCAATTCGAATTGGTTCTGGAAAGCATTCGATGAGATTGACATCAGCGAAACATCATGAGGAAATTTCAGATATTGAGAAACCTATGGAAGTTCCTGGTATGGATGGTAGTTCTGTTAAAACTGTCAGTGCTGATGCATTTTCATTACTTTCTCAATCATCTCGATCAAATCAATCCAATTCTATCGATGCAAGATTTATGTCACAGACTGAAGAATTTCCAGAACTCGGTGGTGGAAAAGGAGGACGTATCAAAGGCATTGGATCTTCAAAGTCTTCATCCTGGGCTAAAACCAATGGTGATGCAGGCAGAAATTCAAGAAACGGTCCTTTATCTCTCTCTGATATAAGCAAAGATATCTTTCCGAGTAGTACAATTGATAATCTTCCAATCCACTCGAATTCGAAGTCTTCGAAAGTGAATAAAGCAGAAATGAATTTTCCACATTCCAATAATGATATTCTCCATGTATCCCAACCCCCTCCTATAAGTTCATATACTTCTAATTGGTACAACGAACCAGAACTATCTGTCGCTGATAAAATTGTGAGAGAAAGCTCTTTTCAAACTAAAGAAAGTGATTTTCCAACTTTGGGTGGTGGGGGCGGAGGACCTCGTACTTCGGCGAAGAAAAATAAGAAGAAAAAGAAAAAGGGTCATCCAAACGCAAGCGAGTTATCAAAGCATTTTGGCGTCAATGACGATCAACAAAGCAGTGGGCATTTACAAAATTTACTGGACAGTGAAAACGGAGATGCAAAACAGTCACTTTCATCTATGCTTGATAAGAATAATGTTTTTGCTCCTTCAGAAAATAGTACCAAACCAAAACAACAAAATCATCAAGAAAAAAAACAACGAAAGGAAAAAATTAAGAAGCAGGAAAGTTCTGAAGATGAGAGTGAGCTTGATCCAAGGTACCATGATCATTGTTTTTCCTTTACTTTAATTCCATCTGAAAATTTAGGAATTTCAAACCTTAAATGACTGAAAAAATCCTATTTACATATCTGGTCAGATTTGCATAAATCTTATTTTAACTCATCTTCAAAATTAATGTCTTAATACAACCAAATAACCCAATGAAAGGAACAATATATTTCTGATAGCTGATGTGTAGAACAAATTTGGAATTGCCAGCTATTTCGCAAAAAAAATTCTTGCACAAGTATATACAAATCCCTGCTTTCAACACTCGTAACTGTTTTCAAAACCCTACTTTTGGAGACCTTTCTAATTTTTGAATAGTTCATGTAGGCATGTGATCTTCTTTTAATTTTGGAAACATAGTTAATAATTATGCAAATTGCAAAATATTAGCAGTATTTAAGATGTAACTGTACATATGGGCGCTCCAGAAGTGTGTGTACTAATATGGAGGAAACTAATTTTGTTTGCCTACTTTACATCAAGTTGTGTAAAGGGACTGAAACTTTTAAAATTATGACCTAACCCTAACCTAGTACACACACTACGAGAGTACAATATCAATGAGGAATTTTTTATTGTACGAAAGAAACAGAGTTAGCATTGTGCAATAATATTCGATTCTAGAAAAATATTCGATTTTGGACAGCCCTGCTCTCACAATGTTGCTAATTTTTCAGACCTGATGAGAATGACATTCAAGGACGTAACATGTGGCTAATAAATACAATTCAACAATTGTGTGAACTGGATGAAAAATTTTCTGAGTTTAAATCTTGTTCTGGCGGATTCCGACAAGGAACTATATCTGCTAATCAGTACTATGAAAAATGCAAAGTTCTACTTGGAAAGAAACATTTTTCTACAGTAAGCTACTTCAAAATTTATTTACATACTGCATAGCCTGCTAAGTTTGCAAAGAATGTATTGTCTGTCTACCTACAGAATTTTTCACATATTTGGTCAAACGGCGGTATTCAATCAGAGTAGACTGATTTTTAATCTAAATTACCCAATATAATTGTATTTTGCTAATCTGTGTATTTGTAGGCCTTGAGATTTTAACTTTTGATCTTATTATATTTCAAGGTATTTCAAGAACTGGTTGATTTATTACCAGACGAAGATAAACAACAATCATTGAGGAAAGCCCACAGAGAATATATTCCATAAAAGCCTTATATCTATTAATTCAGGCAAAATATTTAGGTAACATGTTGTAGAGTGGTATATTCGAAAATATTGTGTACAGTGTTGCATGGTTTGTGTGAGGTGATATTCACCTGATTATGGTGTGTCATATCATGTTGCTGCAGTGGGAGCAATTCTGGTTAGAAATTTATAGTCATACAAATGATTAAGTTGTATAGCCTACTTCAGCATAAATATACTTATTCCCATGGTTGAGGATTGGTCAAACCTGGCTATGACGCTAAAAATATGCATGCAAGCCTTTTTTGATTTGTTGACAATGCTTTGAAGTTTGACGAAAGTTTTTCGACTGATTATCACCTTTGAAAGTCGGAAACAAGTATCACTATTCATTATATATGCCACATATTTTATATGCTAATAGGATACTTTATCTAGAACTGACCATTTATTTGTCGCGTTTGATGTTATCAGGTAGCATGGCTTGTTGCTTAACTGCTTCGGTGCAATTTGTTTTTAATAAAGTTTAAATTTAAGGTTGTCAAAATTGATGAAGTCTGTGAGGGAAGTTCGAGTCGACTGCAAGTGCTTTTCTGGGAATGTGGTATGGCTGAATTGACGTTTGAAAACATACATATATATGTTAGTTTCTTAACGTACCAGTATAAATTTATTTCTAATCTCTACCAAGGTCTCTGCGGTGGCGAAAATCAAATATGAGTTCGTTGCAGATAATATATGTGCTGTAAATGTTTCTCGCAAAACCCTTGTCCAAGCTTTTGAAATAATTTTTGACGCATTAGGACAATATAAAAACGAGCTTCTCATATCGGAAGTTATATAAATTTCTTACACGAGTGAACAACATTGTAGACAAGAATATCGGTCGGAGACCGAAGACTTAACGATCTAAAGTTAGGGGATCCCCCAATACAGAAACTGCGGTTTCGATTTCTTCGCTCTTACTCCACAGTAACACCACGTGTCCCATCGCTAATAAATTAATAACTCGCTAATTCTACGACATAATTCATCCAAAATCAATAGTCTTCTGGTCCGAGATATGATGAATGCACATGCAAAATTTGGAGAGATTCAACCTCGCTCTCGTGAGACATCGCTTGTATCGAACAGACAAATACTTATCAACATACTTACCGATTAAGATCGATAAGTAATAATACTTTTGTTTAATGTTGGCTTCGGTTAACTCTGGGTTATCAACCGACTGTCTACTTACAAACAAATAGTATAGTCAGTTGAAACATCGAACCGTTAAGTTGTTGCTCATTGGCCATTGTTGCTGAGATGAACAAGGGGAGTCGATGCTCGCGTCGAAGCATCAGCTGGTTGGTGTCATGTCTAAATACGTCTTCCAAAACGTTTATTGGAGGTTTTGTTCCGAAGCATCCAGTTAAAAAAGGATTTGTGTACTTATGTTTATCTATCGCAAGAAATACAGATAACACACGTGAATAAGTTGTAAAAGTCGGATGATAGTCTCGTCTATAGCGCATGGTTGCTAGGTATCTTCGTGTCAAAGATAAGTTAAGCACAACCGGTGTATAGCAAACCGATTTAATTTGCCGACGTTTCGAATTTCTATCTGTGTGCTATCCATATTATGCAATGATGAAGTTTTTCTGAATAGAAATTCGAAACGTCGGCAGATTACATCGTTTTGCTATACATCGGCTGTGGTTTATTTATCTTCGATAGTCTCGTCGATGCCGCGAACTAAGCCAAGAAGTCCGATACCGACATCTCACCTTAGCATCGTCATCACAATAGGTCGAAACAACCGTGAAAAATTGTCAGACATTTGCAAAATATCCAAATATGGGTTGAATAAGTAGGCTTACCATACGTCCTGCTTTAGGCGGGACAGTCCCGCTTTTCAGCGTTTTGTCCCGCCGTCCCGATAAGTCAGCCAAAAATCCCGCTTTTCCAGCATAATACACAAACATGTTCTCGTTACTGTTGTTTCTGTGTAGCGCAGCGCTAGCCTACTTACTGAAGGTGAATGCGTTCGTTTCCCGCTGATTCCCATTGATGGCAGACGTATTGCATGGAAAACCAATACTGATTAGTCTAAATTCGACTTATTTGTACCGGTATCGTTAACGTCAATTCCTTCCTATTTTTAGTACTGAACCCGATATTTGGACAGAGAATATGCGCATGAAATTTCGATAACAATATGGCCAATAAAGACAGCCGAGACAGCTCTTAATGTAGGAACGTAGGCCTATGTAGTAAAATCGGAAAATGTGAAGTTATAAAATCACAGCTAAGGGGTCGTTGTCTTTCGAGGCGTCTCGATTTGAAGTCACAAAAATATGGTAAACCTATGAATAAGGAACAGTCATAATTTTGGAGAATTTTTCCATATATAGATATAGTTTTTTTTATTGTTTTATATATCTGGGTCCGCTCATTGTTCTGGTTGTCATAGCGATGATTATATCAAGGAAATTTTTTTTATTCACCGTAATACATTGCGTCTGTAATGAATGAGCTAACTTTAACGATAGTTGCAATCAATTAGCTCTCTTCGCAGACAGAATCTACAATATATATTTAATATGACCTTATCTTATGGTAATCCCAAAGTTACTATAGTCACTTTAGTTAGGTAATCCCCAGACCGGATGTCTCACAATCTTTCAATAGACCTTGGTCGTTCAAAACCCATCCTACGCGCGAAAAATAAAAGTGGTATAAACAAAGCGATTTTAACATTAGCTCTTAAGGGGAACGTGATCACCAGAGCAGAAATTTGCATTTTTTGTAATTTTCTAATTATCTTCAATTGTAGACTTGTGCAGTTTTAAGGATAGAATATTTTATATATATTTTTATAATGATAAACATGGTCAAAATAGGCTTCATAGAAAACTAAAAATTGAATAGAGAATCTATTAGCCTAGGTTGGCTGTGCATGTTACCTGAATATATATATATAATTCCTGCCGAATCTTTTTTTGTAACCAGCCCAAATAGTATTACAAAAATTTAGTAATTATCCTCATGTATCCCAAATTTGGTAAAATTCGGTATTCAATCAATCTGCAGGTATTTGTAAGTTATTTTGTAAACATGAGTTTGAAAAGAAAGCTGATCAATTCAAATAGGTTTTTCGACTGGATATGGGATACCATATCATATTGCTTGCTTAATTAATATGTCTGCATGTTGTGTCGGTGACAAGTGACAACCTGAAACGGCATTTTCTCCGTTATGAAAAGTTGGAAATCTCACACTAAGTGTAGATATAGTAAGATTTTTGATCGTTCCAGTGAGTTTTTTGGTGGTTTTTGCACGTTTTAGCTTGATAAATGACAAATAACGATCAATGTGTTTGGACAATAAAAGTGTTTGTTTTGTATTGAACTGTTTACCCGATCTAGGCACTATTGTGGCCCGCGAACAATATAAAAATGATAATGTGGCCCGCGAAGTCGACAACCTTGGACCACCCCGGTCTAGACTATAGGAGAAGAGAAGCCAACGGAAAGACCACATCTTTTAAAATTGTAATGTACGATTATCAAAAATCTTGAACATGTTTATCGTCATAAAAATATCGAAACTATCTAAAAATCACACTATATATAAAACTACCCACGTTTACAACGAAAGATAACTAGAAAATCACAAAAAATGCAAATTTCTGCCTTGGTGATGACATTCCCCATAAGAGCTAATGTTAAAATTGTTTTGTTTACCTCACTTTTATTTTTGCGTGTAGGATGGGTTTTGAATGACTACGGTCTATTAGGAAGAAGTCTCTCCGTTGTACAAATAAACGTATTTGATCGCACACAAAATACCAAACTTCTTCATATATTTTTTCGAAACTATAAACAGAAATTTCTTCGTTAATTACGCAGACCCGGGACCGTCAATCGCACTTAGCCTGTATGCTGTAGCCTAAACGGAACTAAATTCCTACCTATAATCAAAGAGATTTATATCTATGCTTTAATACCAACAACAAAGAAAATCAATAAAAATTTTGGCAGAGATAACTCAAGACTAATGCACGTAGGCCTATCTATTTTTAGCCTTTTGGGCCAATTTCGTGGAATTAGAATTGGGCTAAAACAGGGTAAAACATTTTACGGGCGCCAAAAGGTATATCGAATCTTTTTGACTGAATTTTACTGTTTACTATCCGATCAAGGAAACTCCTGTAAATATAACTTTCCCCAGCGAAAACTAACTCTGTTTATAAGATATCTATAACTCGTAGTTACCAACGACACAATTATCTATATTGGCGCCTTTGTAAACCGCGCAAGGCGTGATAAGATCCCCCGTAGGTGTCAACACAACACTTAAAGATTTATAGCAGACAACTTCGGAAATTCTATCTATCAATTTCTTTTATCAGACCTACGAAGGCGTGCAATTAATTATTCTATTACAGTTTCTTATCTTGAGGTATCTTTATCCAAAGCAATTTGAGTAAGAAGACAGACTGAGTAAGTGTGTTATAACTTATAATTAACAATTATATTTAATCGTGTAATGTAATATATAGATGTATTTAACATTTCTATTATTTCACAGGCCAAATTTTACTGGAAGTGGCAGAAAGAAATCAACTCTACATATATTTTGAGTTGAAATATTAACCACCAACAACCATAATATCATAATTCTTGTAAAATGTACAGGGTGATCAGACCAATTGTAGTAATCAGACAAATGTTTATTAAAATTTCTACAATATAAATGTAAAAAAAAAAAATATTTTGCAGAAAATAGTATTATGAAATAAATAATATAATTCATTGTTATTTTTTGTTATATCCTCCCTTTGCCTTCACTACACGTATCTGATTGGAACTTGACCGCATGAGGCACGTACGGGGGTCTTCTGAAATTTTGCCCAACAAGTCATCAATCTATGCCTTCGAGCATTTGTTCCCAATCTGAGTTACGCACACCACTAGTTCTACACGGAAGCTTTTCAAGGGGTACGTAAGCAGCTTTGAATTATTGCAACAATTAACTTTTGTATTCGCTAATCAGCGTTTATAGCGCTACCGGTTCTTGTCTTTTGGAGATCGCCCTCGCCCGTTACTGTCCATGCACGAAAAAACGGAACGGGCATGTTTTTGCCATTTTGCGCGTTGTGTCACAATAAGTCTTATCATAATCACTAAATTATCCGAAACCTCGGACGAATGAACTTTGATCAGTGTTATCCGCTATCACGAACTCTCCCTCATTTGCCGATTTATTAATGCAGATGCATTGTGACGTAACATGCATAACGGCGAAAACATGCCCGTTACGTTTTTTGGTGGACAGCAACGGACAAAGGCGATCTTTAAAGACAAGCATTGGTAGCGCTATAAACGCTGTTCGACGAATACAAAATTAATTGTTGCAATAATTCAAATCTGCTTGCGTGCCACTAGTGGTGATGAAGCCTCAGGTTGAGAACAACTGCTCTAAAAAGCATGGATTGATGACAAAATGTCGGAAGAAACCATTCGTTCCTTGTACAGTCAAGTTCCAAACAGATCGAGGCGTGTAGTGAATGCAAAGATAGGATAAATCAAAAAATAACAATAAATTCCATTATTTATCTTGATAATGCTATTTTCTGCAAAATAATTTTTTCTTTCACCTACATTTATATTGTATACATTTTTAATAAACATTTGTCTACAATTGGCATGATCACAAGATCTTGCAAATATATTTTCGCATGTGTATTAAAGTTCCGGATCCAGGGGAACAGAACTTGCGGATGTTGTGAGGCCGGTTTTGTAAAATGCTTGAATTTGATCTGGTGTCCTCCCTGCGACGTTCGGAATAAAAAATATCGAGTAGACCAGGACAAAGATAGTCAACACCATCCAGACCAGGAAGCCATACGGTCCAATCCATATCTAAAGAGATAACACATAAAATACTTAATCATTGATATTAAATACCCGGAAAAATAAAGGCGATACAGACATAATTTTATAGTATTTCGAAAAAGTTCAGTCTAATATGTTTGGAGAAATATTACAACTTGAGACATGATTATTAGAATCAGACTTTTGCAATAACCCAGGAATAAATTATTCACAACTTTCAACTTGTTTCACGATTAACGGAGCATAACTGATATTTTAAAGTTTTGATGGAACGGAAGGCTTTAGTACTCTCAGAAATGATGTTTCTTAACTATTATTACCTCGAAATAGGGAGCTATGAAGCCCACTAACCACGCGAAAAACCACAAAGATGCTGCTCCAACGTTGATACAGACAGGCCTAGTTCTGTCAATAGTTATTGCTCCAAACATTACATAGGCGATAATATTAATCATTGCAAATCTGAAAATAGTAAAATCCATATATATATATATTCATTTTCCTGAACACAAATTATAAAGCGGTATGGTGTGTCGTGAACTTTTTCATATATAAGAAACAAAAGTAAATAAGAAGTAATGAATTTAAAGGTCATATCCAAATTCATTTATGTACAAAACGAGGCAAAAAAATTTCTAGATGTCATAAACAAGTTTTAACGCCAAGCCGATTTACCCGAAGTAGAAGACGCATACTGCAGCAATTGCGGCTGTGGACATGGCTGGCACTTTCTCATAAGTTGCCAAGCATGCAGTTATAAACGCATCTCCAAAAATCATGATCGTGCATCCGACTATCATAATCATTCGTGGTTCGGCTCCTCGATTAACAAATACCGTCTGAGATACATAAGTGAATTCACGTTAGAAACATTTATTTTTTTAAATAAAGCCATTTTTGTTCTTTACTGAAATTTTTTTATATAATATCCCTCTGCCACAAAAAAAAAAAAACATGAGCTCTTACTTAATTGGCGAAACAACTGGCAAACTGTTTACCAGCCGAATAATATGAGTTTGGTCATGGACGTTTAACTGTTATCATATTTGCGATTGGATTCGTTTCTCAATGTATAAACTACTTACCAATACAACAGATGTTATTGGCCCAACGACCATGATTCCCAAAGTAGCAGGAGTCACTGTTTCAGAATCCAATCCAGCGTTAGAGAGAATCTGATCAGAGTAGAAGAAAATATTGTTTACTCCGCTAGCCATTATGACAGAATATGCCAAAACAGCTCCAATAAAATGTCGTCTGAAAAACAAGAAAATACATAGAAAAAAGCACGCAAAATATGATGGTATGCCAGGTAATACATGTTTGTTACGTTGCACTTAACTTATATGTTAGTCTAGTGTTACCCTTACGTTAAAGATTATAATTTCATCGAAACACTTGCAACTCCAGTATTATTTACTTGATAACAAAAGTAGCCTACTCATTTTATCGTGAAATATATTTTGCGTGTAAAGCGTCAAATACATGAAAATATCAACTATACACAGCGAATGCTTTGAATAAAATATCTCAAATTCATATGTCTATTATGTCAATTTTTAACTAAAAAGATGTTCAGTGTAGTATTTTTTCCCAAGTTATCTAGAACAGTGGTTCCCAAACTTTTTTGACCATCGCCCCCTAAAGTAGTTTATACAACTTCATCGCCCCCCGGCACTACAAAAAAATGTAGAGTCAGAAACGAATATATTACAGACCAAACGAGATGACAAATCACAGTTTATAGTGTTTTTTAATGAGATGGATGAGCTCGGTGTTCCTCAGCGAGTTTTTTTATTATATCTAAAATTACCCCGTTTACTGATAGAAAGGCGATTTCGTTGTTTTGATAGTAATAGTAGCACGACTGAAAACCCCCCTTTTCACCATATAAGAGGTCGGAAATGAAAGAAACCAGGGTTCTACCTCCTCAAAAACCGCCGTGTACTCTTGCCCTATAGCGTTTCACTCCCTAAATTCACCCCATTTCCCATTAAAATAATGAAAATAAAGTTCGTAAAAATAATTTTCGTACATCTCATTCATTCCTACAGCCTGATGACTTGCACCAAAATACCTCGGAAAAATTCGTCTCCGATTCCTCATCCTACCACGGCCTACAGTCCGATCACCAGTCCATAGAATTAATCAGCCATTTGTTTTTGGATTCATGGATTCGGATGTGGAAGAAGCCGTGACCGACTATCGGCTAGCCTACTGCCTAGGGGTCGGCAAAGATTATGTCGCTCGCGGGACAAAATTTAGGGTTGCTAGTCTTGTGCGGGTCCAATATATTTTTTGAAAGTTAAAAATGGGACAGCACGAAAACTGCGACAATTCATGAACTCAACTTAGTCGTCTTATTAAAAAATTATTACAATGACATTCAATGTGACATTGTCTTGTTGTATTACGCTTGACAGCTTTACGTAGGGCTGGGCATTTTCGAATACCTTGTGATTTCAGAATCGAATCGAATCTCGAATACTTGAAAATATATAGTTGTAAGCGACTTTATTATAGTAATTGGTCCTCTCAACAAATGAATTACCGAAAACATAGAATAAATCATCCAGATAGATTACTGAGCGTTCACACAGAATAACAAACACGTTTTATCAATAACTCACTACAGAAAATAGTCATATGTTAGAATTTCGTTGAAAAAATATGACATCAATTAAAAAAAAATTGGGGAATTCACCTCGACAATTAGCGGAAAGATGAAAACAAGATGGCGGCGATTCGAAATTTAGCTCAGAACCGATTCGAATAATTTACTTTTCGATTCGATTCTAAATGCCCAGCCCTAGCTTTACGACGCCAAGATTGGAACATTTTCCAAATGGGCATCATTAATCCCAGTTTATTGCTTGTTCTTTGTAATGTTCATTTTTGAAAATAATTGTCCGCACAAATATGAACTTCCAAACATCGAAGTGAATATTTTTGCATGGTTTCTGAAATTTTAATAAATATTTTCTTTAAGAAAATACGTTCTTACAAATATAAAGCAGTGATGAATCTCTCGAATCGAATATAAATTTTATTTCCTTATTGCAAGAATTCTTTTCGATACTTTTAAATAACAGATTGTTGAATGGTATGAATTAGAATGATAGTTTGAAACAAATACCCCATTTTACAGGCAACAACTCGCGAAACCACTCTTAAAACTAAGCACCGAAAATTCAAAAATGGTAAAATGTACAAAGAATTTTTCCGCGGTCAAAGGTCGGGGAAAGATTCATTCAGTGAATCGTCCGCGCCAGATTATTTTACCCCGGCCGTATTTAGCCGACCACTGGGATACGCAAACTACCGTACTTACTGCGAAGACGAGTTCAGCAATCCTCTCGCGTATAATAATCGCCAACATGATTCAAGCCTGCGAATGCACACGCCACACAGAGTACAGAATTTGGTGCACGATGCACAAAACAAAAACAGATAACGCAAAATCGCCCCCCTCGACTTTCTCGCCCCCCTCTGTTGCGTTTTCGCCCACCGGGGGGTGATATCGCCCACTTTGGGAATCACTGATCTAGAATATTGTAAGTTTACTTTTAACCAATCCAATCGGGGTGTGGTAATACATTGTCTGTGCAAGGTCTAACTGTGAAGATGGGGCGATGATTCTATAAATGGTGGTGTCTATCAATGATGAACAGAGCATTTTTCGAGGTAATGGCATAAACACGTTTTTTTATTTATTTCGCGTTGTTTAATGAAATGTAGTCAGTACCTGTATTGTGGAGTTGTTATCACTTCCTTGAATGTGGCAACTGAGCTTGCATTGTCATCTGAGGCGCCATCTGCGACTAGATCCTTCAGCTCATTGTCCAAATCGGTCTAAAAATGTTACAAAGTAAACGTCATACCACATTTCCATTTTTGTCTGTCAAAATCAATGTCACTTAGTAGATAAATTGAGGGGTTTTCATACGTTGTGTATTTTTAATATACGCACTTCAACCGTAACTCAAATCAACAATCAAATGATGTGGAAGAAGAATTATATCAACTACGAATTTATCCATGTTCAAGTGCAGAATTAGATAGGCAGCAGTGGTGAAATCAATGGGGTTCGCGCAAACTTGGCACGTACGTTCTTGAAATGCCGTGAAAATCAGCAAATCCGTTAGACGACTGCTGCAAATACGGCAACTTACGCCGCATCTGACGACTGCCTTACATTTGGCGTTTCGAAAGATATGTAGGCCCTACTCCATTTACGTGAATCGCGTCATGTTAAAGTAGCTTTCGTAGTGGCATACACTAGTAAATATGTTGTACAGCTATAGAGATAAAAGGAATGAATAATGGAACCTGTTCTTAGGAATGACGATACAAGAGAGAACATGTGCTCAAAATTGTTAATCCCACCAGTGGTAGGCAGGTACACAAAACAGAAAAGTTTGTGTAAACGACGACCTTAAACGATAATGACTGGTCATTACATAATAGGTTTCATTGAACTACGTTGTATACTCACTTTAAAGTATCACAGGAGTACAATTTAATTTTTTTCCATGAAAGTCTACGACAGGGGTGGCCAACCAGTCGGAGACCATGAGTCACATTTCGTACTTTATTATCGCGAAGAGCCACATTATAAACAAGAACACACATGGACATCAGATATACCTTTATTCAGCACTGCTAGTTTATTGTAAATGTCACTAACCAACATGAGTATGTCAAGAATCTACAAGCCATTGTTATGCATGCTACTTAGTGGGACTTCTGGCATTCCTTTGATTGAACAATCTTTAAATACAGTATGACTTTAATGTCGCTGTTGTTAACCGAAGCGGTTCTTTCACATGGGTGCTAGTCAGCACCGATCAATGGTTTAATTAATTTACGTTTACAATAGAAAACACAGATTCGCAGACGTATGTTGACCCGAACGTTGACAATATCCTATGTGCAGCTTGTCATTGGAATACTTTCCCATAACACAATTACCAGCTTTCATACGAATCAACGGAGCGTGCTGTCAGAGCCACTTTTTAAGGGGACGCTGCGATTTGCCTTGCATTCGCATGTGGTTGGGCGTAGATGATCTGAGCGATTCTGTACTGAAGTATGTTTGCCGTAATATGTCAGTGTTTAAGGTACATTATAGACTATTTTGACACGATATCCGATCTTCTGATGGTACTGTAGCACTGGTACATGTGTGTACCACCACCACAAGGTACGTTACCTGTACTCAACCCAACCCTGCAAACAGACCGTGGTAATGTACTTGAATTTTAACATAAGTTAGTCCTTTTTCTAATTTATAATATTAAAATACTGTTGAAGCAACATTCACACATATCGAGCTTTCCGAAGCAGGTGCGAATAGCAACCGCGCGTCTGAAACGTCGCCGTAAGCCAAGCGTTCCCTCAAAATATGTTGCTTGCAGCATCATGAAAGTTGGTATTCGTCCCTACCCTAGTGCATTTGAGGTTAACTTTAACCGTTAACCGGGTAAAATTAACCGGTTTACCGCAGCGAGACGTTTGACGTAATAGTTTATGATTTTATCTTATTGCGTCACAAGGGTTACAAAGCAATTTCGTGTGATTTTACCTCTCAAAATATTTACTAATCGACATAGTTTCTCGATCGCTCTGCTGCAAGAGATATGCAGCGTGCTTCGGACATATGGAAGTATTTTAGTAAAACCCGATTCCGTTATTAAATGTCATTTATGTGACAAATTTTCAGTGTCGATGTGCAAATTCCACTTTGAGATATCATAAAGAAAAACAGCATCAACTGCGCACATTAAATAGACAATTGCAATAAAATCTTGAACAATATGATTTCACCGTAAACTGATTCTGAATTTATCATTGTCAAATTTCTATAAACAGCAATCTTGGTACTTCAATTATTTTTCACATATATTGGGTTCTTACCGATGCAGTTTGTGATTTTCCGCTGAATTAAACGCCACAGGAGATAAATTTGCGATGACGTCATCGTTTTTGAAGAAATTTTACATTATAAAGATGATTTGTACCTGAGATGTCAGTTAACGGTTAAAATAAATCGTAACCGTTAACCATCTAAAATCGGTTAACCGATTAACCGGTTAACCATTCCCAGCCCTAACGATGAATCATAATTTGATCGAACCGTGGTGAATAGTAGTTTGCAAGTTATTCTTTTCTTAAAATAACCAGGGCGAAGAAATCCGCATGATACCGCAGCAAGAACCGCATGCGACTCGCGAGCCCCGGATTGGTCACCCCTGACCTTCGAGATATGAGATTTAGCGTGTTATATAATACCACGTGACTCGTTCAGCAAAACTAACCTCTGTCCCACATCGCAGTTTTCGAAGAACGGTCAAGGCTCTTCCTTCTCCATGCAAAATATACGCCTGTAGAGGAGTTTCTACAATCCAGAATGAGCATATAATATGAACGATTGAAAAGAACATACACACGATTAATACTCCCAGCCATCGCTCATCTGTGCCAAATATCTGTAAGTAAGACATATTTCAAGCTTAAGCAATATCACAGCTATCATTTTGTAGATGAAATTATTCTATGTGTATCACTCGGTTCCATTACATTTGAACCCACGTACATTTGAACCCATGACAATTGCACCTGTATGCTATTGCATCTATGGAATTTTTTTTGTTTCACGGATAGTTAAACCCATACTAACCCTAACCCATGGGTTTTAGCACCCGCATATAGATTGAACCCGTGGATATACGCATGGGTTCAAATGTACGTGGGTTCGAATGTACGGTCACCGTATCACTCATGTTGATCCATATTTCATAGTATTTAATTATAAATAATATATATAAGAGGTTCAAAAAAGATAGGATCGTCTGGTAAGTCTTACCTTTGGCCACGCAAAAAAGATTCCGATTGGCACTCCTGATGAAAGAGCTGTCCCCCAAACACTGCTGTAAAATGTGCGACGATGCGGAACGCAAGATTCGTTGAAAATTAATGGTGTTACGCCTATAAGTGCATTGCAATGTGTGAAAAAGTGTGAATGAAACATGCGAAAATAGCTCAAGTTCTCGATCCTGAGCAAATCGGTCGCCAAAAAGCTTTTAGTTTTGCTGAATCATTCATTTATTTCAGAAAATATTTACTTAGTGGAAAAGTTGTGAATGTGCACGCAATATTTTGACAACGCAGAATTTTGCAATTGAGCACTTTTTTTCGGTAAACATGCACGTGAACTTGGAGCCAGGGCAAGAGTGGTAAAACTTTTTGAAACGCAAACTGAATTTATCGATACCATATATAGTCCAAAAAGAGGTAAAATTTTTTAAATCGCCAAATAAATTTATCGATACTATATATAGTTCGTTGGGCCCCACAGACGTATTGAATGAAGTGAAAAAATTAGCCAAACACTGAATAAAAATAGAACAAACCTGGTTAATTGAGGTATATATATATATACTATATTCAGAACCGACTTCATAACAGATTGAAATGGTAATGGGACCTTGTGAATATATATCATTTTTGAATTTATTCGAGCGCCTATTTGAAGCATTATGAATCTAAATGTGATATTCATGGGTATATTTAACATCGCCCAGAAGTTCCGATAACTTTCTTTCGTGGTTCATTCTTTTAATTTTTAAACTAAAAATTTTCAAAATATGAGACCTTTGATTTCATAGTAAACAGTGAATTTTCTTTAGCTTCGCTTGCAATATATGTTTGGTAAACACATTTTCAGGAAATTGATAGTTAATTAAAGCGTTGGTGCTCATGCACAATATTGTACATATTTAGTGTTTCGTGAACCTTGAAAGAACGGAACACACACAAAAACCAAAACCTTGCAATGCCCGCAAATTTCATTACTTTAGATCAGGGCTGGGCAATTATTTTTGCTCGAGGGCCACATTGCAAATCAAAATGCAGTGGCGGGCCGGACTAATTTGAGTCAACCCACATTGCGTTTTTTATTGTATTTTAATACACAATTGAATGAAACAAAATCTAATACAATTGTTATTTTTAATGAGACGTGTGTATGCTCTGCTGCGCCTTAACAAGTCCTTGAATGTCGGGTTCAATGGCAGACGTAGATATTCTCAGCAAATCAGAAAGATGTTCATCGGTGAGAGACGACCGAAATTTCGATTTGGTAAAATTCATTACTGAGAAGGTTTGCTCGCAAATATAAGTGGATCCGAAAAGAACTAGCATCTTTTGAGCATGTCTCCTTATGTTGGGAAAACTTTTTTTATTTAGAGAGGAATAAAAATCCAGAATTTCAGATGATTTAAATTTTTCCTGAAGTAAAGTGTCACACTGCAAATCAATAAGCTCGAGTTGTGCATCAGATGGTATGTTTTCCACGTTACTGGTGAAAGGAGAAGAGACCATACTCATTTTATTTTCAATTAATCGGAAATCTTCAAATCGTCTCAAAAATTCAGCATGCAGTGCATCTAGCATTGTAGAGTACTTTTGAAAATCATTTGCAGATGTGGTAGCTGTGTTGAGTGTGGGAAAATGAGCGAGATTATTGTTCTGTAATTGGCGTGAAAGAAACTGCAATTTCGTTATGAACGATTTTACCAAGCTGTGCATATTATGCACAAACAGTTTTTTACTTTGGAGTTTGCAATTCAACTCATTCAATAGAGCAGTGACATCAACAACAAAAGCAAAATCAGATAACCATTTCTTATCTGAAAGCTGCGGAATATCCTTGTTCTTTGTTTGACAGAATTCTCGAATCTCCTGCTGCAAGTCCCAAACTCGCTTCAGTATTTTGCCTAAACTGAGCCATCTCACAGTTGTATGATATCCTATGTCAGTGTGCTCATTTTCTTGCTCTTCCAACAGGGAAATAAACTGTCTGTGATTTAGTGCTCGAGACCTGATGAAGTTAACTAGTTTTGTAACAACATCAGTGACATGGCTTATTTTTAGCACTGACTTGCACAATACCTGTTGATGTATGATACAATGTAAAAACACTAACTGCTGCTTTGGGTCAATTTCATTAACTCTGTCTTTCATGCGCTTCAACAATCCCACATTTTTTCCTGTAAGATTTGAGCACCCATCTGTCGTCACTCCCGCCAATTTTTCCCATTTATCCATGGATGCATCTACCTCGCTAAAAATATCTGCACCTGTTGTTGTTCCTTTCATTGGTCTTATAGCAGCTATTTCTTCAGTAATTTTGAAATCACAAGTAATTCCACGAACGAAAATAAGCAACTGAGCAGTGTCACGTACATCACAACTCACGTCTAACGCTAAAGTGAAGAAGTCAAATTGTTTGACATAATGTAGCAACTGATCTCTTAAATCTCCTGCGATACACTCAACCCTTCTGGTGACAGTTCTTCTCGATAGCGGAACTTGTTTAAAAGCATCTGTTTTATCAGGACAAACAATTGCTGCCGTCTCTACTAAACATTCTTTGACGAACTCCCCTTCAGAAAATGGTTTGCTGTTTTGAGCGATTTTGTGAGCTATTACGAAACTGGCCATGACAGCTGCATCATTAGATGCATGGAGTCGTGTGAAAAAACTTTGCTGTTTTTCGAGCTTTGCTACCATACTCTCCGCTGTTTGCGCCATTTCATTATTACTTGGATTTTTGTATTTTTTTGCATGTTTTGTCTCAAAATGCCTTTTTAAATTAAAAACCTTAATAACCGCGACCTTCTCCTTGCAAACCAGACAAACAGCTATCCCATCGACTTCTGTGAATAAATACTTCGCTGTCCAACTTTTGTTTAAAATTCTTCATTCTGTGTCAACTTTTCTTTTCTTGTTTTCGGCTGACATTTTGCAACTTTGTAGATCTAGCACAGGTTTAGAATTGACGCTACAGTTCAAGTTACATAAATAAAAGGATAAACAAAGAATAAAATAAAGCTGGGCGCAATTCAACAATTTATCTACATACCACTACTTCTACAATATTTGAAACGCTGAGTAGCGCAGAGCTGACTAGCCTAACTGTATCCTTCTTAATTGGGACACGAATCAAAACGCGACTCATCGAAATTACGCGCGCAAAATTCACGCTTCGATTACTCTGCTGTTCAGTAATCACGTGCAAAAACAAGCGCTGATCGTTGCGACAAAGATGACTACAGATAGCAGTTGGTACTATGCCATGGTCTAATCTAAAATACACAAAGCTACCAAAACGCTTATTTCTATTACATTAATGAAATTTGCCCTCAAAGTATATTTTATATGTAAATAAAAAATGTAAGTGTCTTAATTTAGAAATCTGCTCGCGGGCCGGATGAAACGTTGCCGCGGGCCGGATGCGGCCCGCGGGCCGGAGCTTGCCCAGGCCTGCTTTAGATAATAGATAACAAAATGGAAAATATTAATTTTCGTGGTTGGTAACCCTCCGTGTTAGTGGTTAAAAAAAGATAAAGCTCAATTTATGCATGTAATGAAAAAAAAAGATTGTCGTTAGCATTAGTATGTGTTTCTTTTGAAGCTCTCTTTGGTGTATTGCATACATGGATAATTTAATACAACAGAACAGTTTGTATATAAAGATATATAAAAGATATAAAAATTAAATAAATAAAAAATAACATTTTAAAATATGCCGTACTCACTCAAACCGAGCCCAAGCGCGAGTCCCGTAACAAATCGACCAATAATAAAAGCCTCATACGATCCCCATTTTCCTGTTCCAACTGCAACAATCAGGTATCCAGTCCCCGCACAAACATGGGTTATGATCAAGATTTGTTTTCTTGTCAAATAACTCAACAATATTTTGAAAACCATAGATCCAACAAAAGCACCAATCATCAACATCGACATCGTTAGAGTCAGCAAAAGAGTCCACGTGTCGTCAGGCAGAGCATCGGCATGTTGTTTCTGAGATATGAATGATTATTATAAGTGCAATATTTCGCGACAGCAAGTTATATCCATATTGCAAAAATATATGTTACTGAATTCACATGCGACTTAAACGGCTCAATGTAGAAGAAAACCTTCGTTTGAAATGCGAAATCACGCTTGTCAAAGTATAATTTGTTTTGATGGACTGAATTAATTATTGGACCTATGGATCATTTCGTCATTTAGTATTTTTCTTCTTGTTGCTGTGAAAAAAATCGCTTCCTCGTTAACTAATGAACCAATTGCTTTGTTTTATTACTTTTATTCATTTCAAATATTCCCGTGGGATATGTGGAATTCGTTTTTTCTATTTTACGTTTTGTGTGGTGACGTCAACAAAATTAAAATTACTTGTAATGGTTCCGCGGACGCATGTCAGCGGATCTCGTGCTTAGCAAAAGTCGGAACTTTCTGTTTTATTGGGGTACGGTAGACTACGGGACCGATACAGTAAATGTTCCATAATACAGTTATGACTTGAATCCTTCGGTAATTCAATTCACGTTTAGACCAAAAGCACAAATCATCATCGTCACAGGACCTGGAAATCTAGGGGGAGCCCGGATACCGGTATTTTGATACAGGTACATGTAAGTGACCGTATTTGTTCCACAGTTCCAACTTCGTTTAGGGTATGATTTTGGGGGAAGTTGTGGGTAAAAAAATCTTTCTATGGCTTTCGTGTCCATATATTTAAGCATGGCTCTTTTGTTTAGTAGCAACATATATTTAGGTTGATTCTTGAGATGATGATAAGTTTTCACATGATTACTGACTGATTGATTACTGATAAGAAAACACGACTTACTTCATACGTTGAGTTGTAGATGCGATGAATTACCGGAACCAGTGGATTTAGGCATGCTATCGAATAAGCGATCATAAAAGCGGTAGGAAATATGGACGCGTTGAGGACGAACGTGCAATACCACGAATTCTGTAAATCAAATTTTTATTAGAGTTCAATCAACCGCAATTTTGAAGTGAGATATTTGTACATTACAGCTGAATTCTTGTGACAACATTGTATATACGCCTAATACACAATCAGAATAAAGCACACATGTCCTATTTGATGTGTCGAAACGAACAGAACTTGGTATAAAAAAAAACAAAAACCGTTTAAAAAATATTTAATTCTGATAATTTCGTATATATATATTATATACCAGATCATATAGTTTCTTATAGGTTTGCTTATATCACCTATCATCTTTTGGATAAATTCCACCGTTAATAATATGAAAGCACGTTAATACCCTTTAACATAAATAATAAAAAATAATATTAAAATAAAATTTGGATAAAATTTGTTACAAAGATTAGAGAATAGGAATTGTTTTTTATGATTAATTTGATTAACTCACATTGCACTTTCCGCTGACTGTAACGTCACATACTATTCACAAACTACCTGTAGTTATTTTATTTTTGTATAAAAAAAAGGATTCTTTGTCAAATTCCTCGCATAATGTGGCGCACATTTATCATGTAAATATAAAAGCAAAATAGTTGATGAAGTTTGCACTTATAAAAAACAAAGAAAGTATCAAAAGAATAAGTAGTAAACTAAAAAAACTTACCTTGTATTCTTCTTTCATTGTGATTGAATACGTAACTTAGTAAATGTAATTTATATGATAAATTTCCAATTGTAAATAAGCTATTGATAGACAGGGCTTTAGCCGACCAACCACTTCGACTGCTGTGTATAATAAAATATATTTCAAGAAAATTATCCATTTGAATCTCAAAATTTATACCTATTTTTTGCCAAAACGTTCTTATTTCTAATATATTATCTTCATTATACCTGACTGTGTCTAACAAGACAATGCGTTCCTATTTGTTTTGAAAAAAAGTATCTAACTTACGTTCCGAATATCTTTGCGCATTAATTTATATAACATTTATTAGTCAGCTTCAAATATAATTTTTAATACAATGACACACAGAATGGACTTTACTGAAATTTATGTAAACGTTGCTAAAAGCAAGAAAATTAGTCTACGTTCTGGATCATTTTCAAAATACCCTTTAAAATTATAGTTTTTATCTGAATTTACTATAAATATAGAGATAAAATATAGAGGTAACAAAAAACTGATAAAAGAAATAACAATTCAAGCGCGTTATTGTTATACTCTTTTAACGTTGCATACTTAAATTTAAAAATCTCAGGCAACTTAGCACAAATTTTAGACAAATGATGCATTATCTGAAAAGGCATTATCTGACCATCCCTTTTTATTGTAACGGCCTATCTTGTGTTTTGCAGCAAAAGCACAGAGCGTGTCAAAGTATTTCAATGTGGTTTGAAAGCCCGTTATAAATGACGTCAAAGGTATAGCCAAAGTTGCATTTGCTCTTATTCCGAGAATATCATATTACCAAAATGAACGGTAGCCTACTCCCGAAGTATGTGAACCAAGATGGCGGAAACCGGAACGTAGTATGTGTACCAGCTTAGGGTTAGGCCATAATTTCAGGTACAAATACTACGGGAGTCACTTGGCTAGTCCCCAAACTCGTAATAGAACTAAAATAAGAAAAATTGGAATAAAATAATCGCCTAACCTGGTACACATACTACGTTCTGGTGTCCGCCATCTTGGTTCACATACTTCGGGTGTACCAAATTGACACCGATCCGATATTACCAAAATTGACTGGAATAATTTGATAAGCATCAGATTACATTTATCTTACTAACGAAATTAGGAGCAAATTACAAAAATTCTAACTAATATATTTATATATATTTAACTTAAACAAATTGCCTCATTATGTATATCCATATTGTCACATGAGTTTTGTTTAATAATTTAATCTGTTCAGTGCATGTTACACATTACACTATATTCAGAAATTACGTAAGACAATCTTCGAAGAGCTGCGTAGAAACTACTACAGACGCGGAAGCAGATCTTAACGAAACGCCTGTTGTAGCGCCAACAAGTGATGGGATTCGGTGGGTTCGCAAAGGTTCATTCTTATAGAATACCGTGATAATCAGTGAATCAGTCTTCTGGTCTGACGATTAACGTTATACAGGGCTTTCTCAGGTTTTGTATTAAAGTTAGATAAAACGTTTCATGGTAATGTAGCTTACGTAGTGACATACATTAGTAAATATGCCGTGTATTCATTGGGCTATACGGCATGGTTTTCTGAAGATAGAAATCTGTTGTTAGTTAATGTAGAATCCAGAAACCACATTAGTTTTGCTCAATCAGGTCAAGTTTTTGAGATATGGCCACACAGCATCATGACGTTTTTTACGATATGTTCACACGTACGAGTGTTGGGGCATTTTAGAAGAAATTGGTGGGGGTAAAATTTGGACTGGGTGAACTTTTAGGTGTTTTATCTTCCGTTTTTTATTAATTTTTGTTTTTTTACTGTTGCGTGTGAAATCGGGCAATTCTGTTTGTTTATTATCATAGCAACGTGTTCATTGACGATTTTGCCTTCTGTGTGTATTCTTAGCTTCTGTGTTAGTTGATAATGAGATGGCTTCGTTTAGTAGAAGACCGTGCAGTAATTAGGTCACGTGTTCTGCTACATATGTGGAAATTACACCCTTGCTCCTAAGGAAACCCGTCACAAGTTTCATAAGGCGTGCTTACCATGCTCATTTTGGTATTGAACTTGCTGACCAGGATAAAGATTGGGCACCACAAATGGTGTGCAAGGCATGCATCGAGACTATGCGTGGGTGGACAAATGGCAAGAGGGATTTGAAGTTTGGAATTCCCATGGTTCGGAGGGAGCCGACAAACCATGTCACTGACTGCTACTTCTGCGCTGTTAACTTGACTGGGATCAACAGAAAAAAACGGGGAAGCCTCAAGTACTCCGATCTTCAAGCAGCACGTCGTCCTATAGTTCATTGTGATGAAATTCCAGTGCCCATCTTCAGTGAACTTCCAGACAATAGTGACAAAGATACCTCCAGTTCAAAAGGACATAAAGGAGAAGAAATGGTTTTCGACGATGATGCTCCACATCCATTTTTCCAAAAAAAGTTAAATGATCTAGTTCAGGGATCACCAAACTACCAACGTCCTTTCGTCTGGCCCGCAATAACACGAAAAAATGTCGATTTTTTTACAATGGATGTTTCCCCGAGCATCGACTTCCTTGTTCATTTCGTAGTGATTCCGAAATTTAAGTAGGAATCAAATAAGCCAATAACCATTTTGCCTTCTTAGGTGTTGTAGTTTAATTGGAGTAATCAAAAATTGTCCAGAGATACCTGTGATGAAATAGGCTAAAATTTTACCGGTACGCGACGTTTCTGCGAAGAATGCACTCGTACACTCGTGGCGCGTGCTTTCGGTGAAACTGTTGCTGTGTACGTTTCTCGTGCTGAAATGAACGTCGAACGTGCTTTTTGCACTAATAGTACAAGTCACATTAACTTTTGTACTGCTTACATGTAGATATTTATGACAGCAATTGCTTTGCTAACAGCTAACTTCATGATAATTGTCTAGAAATCTTGTATATATATATAGGTTTTGCTATGATGTTATTGATCTATATTCTGCGATAAAGAATATAATATTCAAGACTTCAGAAATGTAAAATTTATATTGTTAAATAAATTGAATGAATTCCCCAACTTTTGGATATTTATTGTATTACATTGACAAAAATATAAAACGGTGGAGTATGTGCCGGAGAAAATTGGTTATGATCAGCATAAGTGGTTTATTAGTGTTGACCTGAAGATGGTGAATTTTTTGTTGGGACAACAGTCTGGCTTCACAAGTGTGCATGTGGGGTAGTATAGATCGTGCTCAGCATTACTCAAAAAAGAACTGGCCTATGAGGGAGGAACTGGTACTGGCCTTGTAAAAATCAAAACGTCATCAGTGACCCTCTGATGGATAGAGACAGAATACTATACCCTCCATTGCACATTAAGCTCGGCTTGATCAAGCAGTTTACTAAGACTCTTGGCACGTATGGTGACTGCTTCATCTACTTGTGCCAGGCTTTTCCAGGACTGAGCATGGAAAAGTTGAAAGCTGGCATCTTTGACGGTCCTCAGATTAGTCAGCTCATTAGAGATCCAGAGTTCCAGAAATTTCTTGGCAACAATAAGGCCAGAAATTACGCAGAACTTGTCAACAACATGCTGTCTGCTTTCAGAAACCTGGGTTGCAAAATGAGCATCAAGATGCACTAACTATTTTTGCATATGGACAGGTTTCCTAAGAACCTATGTTCAATGAGTGACGAGCAGGGGGAGAGATTCCATCAATTCATGAAAGAAATGGAGACCAGTTGAGTCGATGGGATGCAGTCATGATGGCTGACTACTATTGGACTCTCAAGAGAGACCTCCCTGCGGCTAAGCATTCCAGGAGTTCGAAGAAACGAAAGTTCGAGCCCTAAAGTTTGAACAATGATGACGCATTTCGTTTACTTTCCCTTATCAATGTCCAATATTCAGTTTTTAGTAATCGATGTTTCCATCTCGTAATCGATATATATTATAGAACAAACATTTTTTTTCTTCTTAAAAACCCTACTTAGGATGATGTGTGTTGACAAAAATGACCGGATAATGCGACGAAAATGTAATCAATTTTGTCACGCGGTCTGATTTTTTCAAAACACAAACTTGACCTGATTGAGAGACACGGATGCTATTTCGTGATACAGCAGTGCCAAAATATCCTAAATCATTTGCAAAAATCTAAACAACGTTCGAAAAGTAAAAAATTGTTAGCCAGTGATGCATCCACAGCGCGAACTTCGAAATTTTGTATCGCGTTCATTTTTATGACACAACACATCATATTTGTCATTAGTGGACGTTATTGGACGTGGAGTGTACATATGATTCGTTTTGTTATTATGTTGTTGTTTTTGCTCATCTTTTCTTATCTTGAGAGATCTTTATCCAAATCAATTTGAGTAAAAAGACAGACTGAGTAAGTGTGTTATAACGAACAATTATATTTTTAATAATGGAATATACGGATATATTTAACGTTCTCATTATTTTATAGGTCAAATTTTACCATGACTGGCAAGGGGAAATCAACTATACATATGTTTCGAGTTGAAATAATGAACACCAACAACTCTATAGTTGGGTTATTATCCGGAATATCAAAATTCTTGTAAAATGTACAAGATCTTTCAAAAATATATTTTCATGTGTATTAAAGTTCCGGATCCAGGGGTACAGAACTTGCGGATGTTGCGAGACCGGTTTTGTAAAATGCTTGAATTTGATCTGGTGTCTTCCCTGCGATGTTCGGAATTAAAAATATTGTGTAGAGCAGGACAGCGATAGTTAACACCATCCAGACCAGGAATCCATATGGTCCAATCCATATCTAAAAAGATAACACATACAAAATCATTCGCCAATTATTTCAATAGCAAAAGCCACATCATGAAAAACTTTAGTGTCCTGGCAATAGACGCACTCACCGTATGTGAGTTATATAGGAAAAACAAAGAACACTTTTGGATCAACACAATGAGAACCCGATAACCACGAGGAATCAACGTAAAAGACAGAACCTCAAAGAAAATGATTCTAAAACAAACACAAACAACAACAAAACAAACAAATAAGTTTAAAAACAAACGCTGGAACATCTACAAATGGTCAAACCTAGAACGACTCAATATCATTCTTCTACACAGCACAATAGAGACAGGCTCAACCCATCGATCTCCAATATTCTCGTA